GACCATATTTTTCTGAAGTCGTTTGTAAACTTTCCACTTTCATTTGTCTTTTTTCCCAAAAAATTAAGTTTTTCCTTTTCACAGATAATTGGATTGTTGAATGCGTTTACACCTCAGAAAACACTTGATGAATTTTCCGATTTGTACATAGTAATGGAACTTATGGATGCTAATTTATGTCAAGTAATACAAATGGATTTGGATCATGAAAGGATGTCCTATTTGTTATATCAAATGTTATGTGGTATCAGACACTTGCATGCTGCGGGTATCATACATCGGGTTATTTTTCTTCACATTAACCTTTCATTAGAGATTTTATCGAAAATTGCAAAAGGCAACGTTTCAGGTGCAACAAAATATTTCTTTCAAAAAAAGATTTAGTGATTTGAAAGATGGATAGATGGATAGATTACGCTTTCAGTGTGCAGTTATGATTGAAAAGATTTTCTTGCTGATATTAGCATCCTTCGTACGAAGCCCAATAGATATTTATACTAGTTCACTACTATGGCTAATTGTTTTTAATGAAAACCTGTTTAGGATCTCAAACCGAGCAACATTGTTGTTAAAAGTGATTGTAGTTTGAAAATATTGGATTTTGGTTTAGCACGAAGTGCCGGTGATTCATTTATGATGACGCCATATGTTGTAACACGTTACTATCGTGCACCTGAAGTTATATTAGGAATGGGGTACAAAGATAATGGTATGTTTTTGCACTGTAATTCATTTAGGAATTATGTAGTAATTTGGAGGTAAGGACTAAAATTTTTTTTGATGTTTAGGATATGAAGAAAAGGGTAAGAAATTTTTATTTATACAGTATCCTCTGTCTTTTGCTGACCACTCCTCAAATGAAAACGTGATACGACGGCGTTGTTTATGTATGCCTAACACTTTGTTTGTAGTTAGATAAGTTATTAACCTGTTTTGGCAAGAAGCTGGATATGCTGCAGTTGAAATGGACAAAATGGTTTCTAGTTGAAACAAAACTAAAGGTAGATCACAACACTCAAAGTCGTGTAGTGTGGACTGGGAATTTCTAAGTTTTTTTTCACAAAACGCAGTTGTGTTTATTGTTGGATACTATCAGTCAGTTTTATCCTTATTCTGAAACTCTGCTTGTTTTGCTGAAAGGGAAAATATTTTGATCGGAGATTAAATCGAGATAGTTCCAATGCATGAAGAGACATATGTTAGGAAGCAGTTGCGTCAATTGTTTATGTTATAAAATAATATGCATGGCTTCGTAGTTTGTTTTTTTTCGAAGATATACCGGATTGCTGCATAAATTTACGACATATTTTTACCGTATTTCTGCAACTATCGTTTATTACATAAGCATAATTTCATCCATTATCCAACGTCCAAAGGTCTAAAGATTTTTCGATTTGATTCATTCAAAATTTCCAATAGTGGTATTGAGTTGAAAAAAAATGACTTAACTAACATTTTTTTTCTAGATTCATATCATCTGCAAAGTTGTCTGGTACATTTTAGTACCTGCCTTTGCTCTTGAAAGCAATATTAGCAGCAAGTTTCAAGAGAAGTTTGCTTTGTTTAACTGTACCGTACTACAGTTCCTTGAACTTAGGTGATATTTTGAGTGACTGTAGATGGTCATTATCCTTAGTCAGTTTCATCATTTAGAAACATGAATGTGACAAAATCATCCAAGCCAGTAACCCAAATGACACCACGAAACCTCGCTGCATATTTAGTTATTAGCATTTATTTTTCTACGGCTTTACTCTTCAGTTCCAAAATAATTGGTTTTTCTTCCGCTTCTTTTCTTTTCATTACTTCTTCATTAGAAGAAAATCTATGTTATTATCATCTTCTGCAAAATTTGCTAAAAATTCTGGATTTAGTTCGGTACTGATATTTTCTTGACTTAAAATAATTTGGAATAAATTAAATCAAACTGTTTTTAGACCTTTAGACATAAAAAAGTGAACGCAGCACTAATAGGTATTGTAAACACACGGTTTGTAATTTTTGCTTAGAAAAAAATCCTGAAAAAAATGTGGGTTTATGCATGAATTCAAATTTTACTGGCAACAATTATCCGACATACGATGGAAATTTGCGTGCCGTCATGCAATGCAGTATATGTGCTGTGTTGCTATGCAGTGTGCGTTCATTAATTTGAGTTTAAAAAAATCCGCAAAATGTAGTTCTTGCGTTACACTGCGATGAGCTTGATCGGGAAGAAGACCAATAGTAATGACATACCAACAACATACAGAGCCGACAGACACACTTCAATTTCATTAATTTCAAAAGCAAACTGCATGTGGAAATTAAAAGGCTTTAAGAAAATAGTGATGTGAGCGTACTTGGCTGATCTGTTGCTTAACTATTGTTAGCTAAATGATGTGTGCCCCTGGCAGACATTGTTTTGGCACTAGTTGCAGTTGATGTTTGGTCAACGGGCTGTATATTTGGCGAAATGATTCGTGGTAGTGTATTGTTTCCGGGCAATGATCATATTGACCAATGGACCAAAATTGTTGAGCAGCTTGGTACTCCTTCACTGATGTTCATGCGTCGCTTGCAGTCAACTGTCCGAAATTATGTGGAAAATCGTCCCCATTTCCCTGGTTTTCCATTCGATAAGCTGTTCCCGGATGAATTATTTCCAGCTCTCAGCAGTTCTGATTCACGACTTACTGGTATGCTTATTATTTTATTGTGTATCATATGTTTTAGTTGATATATGGTCGATTGGTTGTATTTTTGGTGAACTCATTCGTGGCCGAGTTCTTTTTCCTGGTACGGATCATATTGATCAGTGGTCAAAAATTATTGAGCAGCTGGGAACACCGGGACGCGATTTTATGCAGAAGTTGCAAGCAACTGTGAGGAGCTATGTGGAAAATCGTCCTAGGCATCCCGGTCTTCCATTTGAGATTCTCTTTAGTGATAACATATTCCCAAAGCCGGCAACCAACAACGCACTTTGTCGTAAGTTTCAAAACTACTGCTCAAGCAGAAAAAGGTTTCTAGGAACCCTCTCAACTCGAGCTGTAGTTGTAAGAACTGGAGCAATAAATGTATGGTCTAGGGAAAACAAGAGAAGAGTTCTGAAATTTTTTTGTTATGTTGCAAATCTGTCAGGTATGTTTAGAACGAAGTATGAAGAAATAGTCGTTGTGTATTTCATTTCTTACAACAGTAACCAGCTAACCGCGTCATCCTTCGCCGATCTCTTTAAAAAAAAAAAAAAGATTCTGTAGGAATTAGAACTTATTGAAATATGAGGCAAAAGTTTAACACTTGAGGTATACCCTTTTTATCAAGATGGACACCTGATAATCTGAAATTTGCTACCTAGTTCTTTCACACTTCTTATTCCTATTTAAATATCATAATATTTGACTTAGTGGCCATCTTTATTTTGTTCTTTTAGCAGCACAAGCACGCGATTTGCTGTCAAAAATGTTGGTGATTGATCCGGAAAAGCGCATATCAGTGGATGAGGCTCTGAAACATCCGTATGTTTATGTATGGTTTGACGAAGCTGAAGTTTACGCTCCACCACCGGAACAGTACAATCACAGTATTGACTCGAGAGATCATACAGTTGAACAGTGGAAGGGTAAGATGTTAGGATTTTTAAACATTACTGTTTTTTTTTTTTTTTTTTTTTTTTTTTTTTTTTGTATGTACTTAGTTAAATTATTGGAATCGTGATTTTATTTGATCGACATTTACCATTAATTTAAGATAACTAATGGAAATGAAAAAAAAAAAAAAAAGGCATATGGAATTTATTTGAAAAGAAGAGTGAAGAATATTAATATTTTATAAGCACTATTGCATATTCTTACAGACAGTTGTTGTAGTGGTAGCTCTAAGTTTTTGTCTTTCCTGTTTATGAATACTCTCTGTAAGCTTCATCAAAAACTAGTGCTTTCGAATATTAACAATCCATTATATACATTATAGTTTCAGTTTTATGACTTAACTCTATATATGAAAATTAATTAAAGTGGAAGCGAATGCATAACATTTACAACTTTAGATGCATATCTGTTGTGGAATTCATATAAGGGCATCTTTCTAGTCTTCGTCCCATCTACTGTTCATTACAACTTTGGTAGTATTTTATACGAAAAAAGTGCTAAAGTATTATTTTTTTAAGAACTAATATTCAAAGAAATCATGCAGTACGAGCAAACTCATGACGAATATGGAGTAAAGAAATCGTTGAATTGTACATCGGGTGCTGTACCGTCGTCTTCATCATCATTTCAGAACAATGAACATGGTGATTGCTCAACAACCGGAAATACTTTGGTTACAAATGGCTTGTAACATTTGTGGTTTTCTATTCATTTTCTTTCTTTTTATTCTAGTCACTTTATCACTCTTTACCTTAAATAGGAGATATTGATGCCATAGTTGTTAGGTAGCTTTATGATGGAAAATCTTTGTGTAGGGGTGCTTAATAGATAGGATTCGTGAGCATTTGAGACAAAATGTAGCAGGTATTTTCTTTTAAAACATCTGTTGTAAAGCCTATCTATTGGTTTTATACTAGCTTTATGTGGGTTTATAGAAAATAAATAATGTTTATTAGAAATTTGTTCCAGTTAAAATACTTGCACATTATTAACTGCTCTTTTATACTTGGATAATCGATACAACAGCTTGCTGAAGGCTCTCTAAATACTGATATTGCGATATGTTTATCATGCAAATACGTTCAAATATAGGGCATGGTCCACGAAAATAGTTTTAAATTTTCGTAAAAATCGAAAAAAAATTTTTCTGTGGAATTGCTTCAAAAAGTTGCGGTTTTTTTTTCTTTTTTTGAAATAATCTTTTGCTTATAATTGTTTAGACAGAATGATAGGATTAATTGTTATGATCATCATTAGTTTTCTGAATTGCAAGTAGTATTTCTCTATTGCCCTACAATATAGTTGTAAGAAAAAATGGCCTCGGCAAAAATTCCAGTGGTGGGAGCGTTGTACAACATCAGCAATGAAATGGTTGCGATGTTAACAATAAAGACTTTTCGAATCTATGGTTAGTTTTCATTATGATGAACGCAATGAAAGATTTTTATTTACCTTGCATTTATTTCACGTATAGGTTTTTACGAGTTACTGCTTCGAAATGTTTTTAATAATACTTTATCAGAGTGCACAAAACATTTGGAGTTGATTATTGTACTGCATAGTTTATTTTCAAGAATATTAAATTGAAATCCTTTGTGTATGCTAGAATTTTACAAGCATATATGCAGTGCAGTAGTTCACGGTCTTTTTTTTTTTTTCATATGCTTCTGATATATCTGCAAGCGATATAATAGCTCACTGGAGTAATATTTATGTTAAATATATGTCTGCATTGATCATTCCAAGTCAGGAATAAGCAACCTATCAAATTTGCTTGGAAAGAATAAATTTGTGAAAAAAATCGAGATACTTTAAAACTGCGGATTGATAACTTGCAGTTTTGAAGAACTTTTATTTTAAATGCGGTGGAATGGACTTGTCGCCTCATTCCTGCTGTTTATCTTTATAATCTGGCTGAAAATATGGGTTAGTCACTTCTTGTTTGAGAAGAACTTCTTAGTGATATAAGAACTATCAATTAAAGATCAAAGGGAGATAAAATTAAAGAAATTGACGTCTCTGTTACTTTGCATCTCGATGTTTTCGAGTCTGATCATATTACAGGCCTTATTATTCATAGTCTTACCTGTAAATGGTTGCTGTAATTGAGAGTTTAAAATCCTCCATGTATCAAATGTGAGATTAAAATAAAAGAGATACTGATAGTCATTTGCGTGTTTTGGGGAACTTAACATTATTTGCTTGACGGTGAGCGTCCCACTTATAGTTCCAGTTTCAATGGAGTTTATAGTGACGTTTGACGTAAATACCATATTAAAATATATGCATCATAATTAGAACAGCTATATGATTTTAGCGGCAAATGGCACAAGTTTCAAATCAAATTCGATGATATTTCGAAAATTTATGATAGAGGAACAAGTTACAGCATCTATTTCTACAAAAAAAAAAAAACTTTGAACAGTACGACAATGTATAAAAAATTATTTATGCATGCAATACGAGATTAGTTGTACTCGGTTGTTTTATAATAAATGGATAGTTGTTATCTAAATTGTCATCATATTTGAATATTATTACTGCTAGCTGCATTTTAAAATATTTTGCTACAAAGTTGGTTAAGGAGTTGTCTATCGATTGATTTCACTTTCATTTAAAGTACATCATTATGAATGTGTACTAGTGCCCAAAATTTTTACTGAAAGTTGGGATTCTTTTGGCTAACAAGCAAACCGCACTGTGAATGATGCATTACAATAAACATCAAATATTAAAAAAATAATTTTTGCCTAGAAGCTGATGATAGTTTTTATGTTTTGAATGGGGAAGAACAGTTGCGTCACATTGGTGTTACGGCTCCTTTTTTTGCGGCAATTTCACTAATACTATCCATAACTGACGCTTCGAAAGTGTCCCGATAAAGTAGTGATACGGTGTGTTGGTAAATTTTTCTGGTTAAATGACTAAGAAATTTGGCTTTAATTAAACTCAGTGATGAGGTGGCGTCCGAAGAAAGTGTTGTATTAGCACCATCTGGTGGAAATCCATTAAGCTGCGGCCGCTTTTGAGCATCGAATACATCTTTCTGAATTTACCTTTTTCCTTGAAGATTAGATAAAGAATGGAACTAACTTTTAAAATACCAAAATCACTAGTGTAAATATTGTAATGTGCGCGTTACTATTTCATTGGTTAAAAGTGATGTAAAAATGGGTCTTTGAACTTATCCCTAAAATCTCATTTTAATACTGAGAAAAAAGAAATGTCTGAGCAATTACCTTATTGAATAACACAATGAAATGCGATTTTTTCAGTGTGAAATTATTGCAAAGTTGTGTGAATATAGTGACGCATTCATCTTCTACACTCTGAAACTTCGGTTTTTTTTGCAAGCATTAATTTGAATCGTTTATAATCGTAAAAAAAATGTTCAATAATAAGCTAGAATATGTGCAATGACTTTCTCTACGTGAAAGAAAAAAATTGAACTAAAACATTACTGATAGGCGCTCTTTTCGAAGTCTGCAAAATGCGGTTAAATCAACAATGTAAAGAAGAACATTTATAATACTATAGAATTTGTCCCACTTCCGTCGAGAATACTCGCTGCCACCAATGTCCACAATACTACAAAAAAAAAAAAAAAAAAAAATTTATTGTAATGCAGCCAAAATTCTATATTACTTTATCAAATATGGAGATTAGAAATATTTTAACGATGTCATTTTTGTCCCACTAGCGTAGTTATCTTCTGATGAAGAATATTACAAATTAAGATGCTAGATGCTCATTTAAAACTTGAGTAGAAGAATTGTTTCAGTATAATTACGAATATACCTCTTTTTATACGATTCCATACTACGGATAACATTTAGTGGCAGTTATTAAAATGATAAAGAATCTGTTTAGGTTGAAAATCATTATCGTTTCAGATTTTGCTAGTAAGGTACGGCAATAGCAGAGAAAGAGGATTATTGTTTGAGTTCAGAATTTATAAGAAGTATCTACCTGATTGATGCAAATGAAGTACGGTAATGTATTTGGTCGATTCCAATTGTTGGTGCATACGAATTTAAGATATCGATCTCAGTCGGAATATAGTCACTGGCCGTAATTCTTTCAATATTATCGAAGAAACTTCAAAACTCAAATTGTCTTCATAATTTCAAAAATGAGAAAGAAAATGCATGGATGGAGACCATTGGTGGTAATTTCATCAGCAATCACATGAAATTTCACACATACTACAATTTATAACATTTGAAAGTCTTGAATGTAAAGGGGTCTAAATATTATTTTTCAGGTTAAGTTTTCATAATTTCTTAGAAATTGTAGTATACTAGTAATTATCATAAAATTACAGCATTCACCCACTACTGAATATTTTGGACAAGTGATAATTTATTGCAAGTTCGAATCAATTTCTGTATTGTACTGTCCTTTGGAATATCTTTGATTGCTCGTAAGCAATTGCTACTTAGTTTGTCCAGTGTCTTATTGGCTAAGATAATATCGAATTTTTCCTGAAAACAGTTTTAGTTATGCCGAAAAGATTGGTTAAGTAAGTTAAAATTTTTTTTAGAGTTACCAGGTGTTTCGGACAGTTCAGGAATTGATATAAAAAAAAAAATTTTCATATTTTGAATGAATCCTTCTTTTAACTTGGCTGATATGAAAATATTGGAGAAGCAAGAATCAAAAAACCCTCTGTTTAGAAATATCCAAATTCAACTCTTTGCACGCTTGAAAGATATCACTGTATATCTGAACTAGATTTTGTAATAAAATGCTTTGATAGAAACTTCTTTCCAGTGGTTTACATTTTCCGCACAGCCTGGAAAAGCAATTTTTGGGCGCACTGAAATTATGTGTTCATTAAAGAAAGTAATGATGTAAGAAACATTTCTTGCAACCATGGTTATTAATTAATAATACAACTATCTATTTAATATTATGGAATGAGTAGAAGAGGCAATGTTGAGATAGCATTTTGGCTTATTGAGGTTAAAAGCAACTGAACTTAGAGCAATATTCTATCAGGCGGCACATTTCTGTTCGGACTTCTTTGGGTCAAGACGTAAAATTTCCTGAGTTTCACTTACTCTTCTTATTAATCATTTATTCTTAATAACAATATATAAAAAATATGAAAGTTATTTACTGAAACTAGTTTTATTCAAAACAAATACTATTTCCATTAAATCCCTTAAATTTAAATAAAATTTAATTGCTTCACTTTAAAGTTTTTTGAGTTGGAAATGTTGAAAATATGACTAAAATTACTTTCTGTAATTAGTTTTCTTTTTCACTAAAAAGTACGAATAAAATTTAATTGTTACTCAACCTGAGTTGACGGAAAAGCGTTGTTTTTCCTACTGCTGCTGTACCTGCAAAAAAATTTTCTAAAGAAAATTGTTTTTAAACTAGCACAGTGAAAAGGGAGCAAAGGAAGAAGGAAGGAGCTAAGACAGGAAATCACTAAATTAAAAATATTCCTCGAATTCCATGAAATCCACAGCAAACTTTCAGGAATTTACAGCGATTTTAAATTTAGCACTAAAAATTTCACAATGAAATAAATATTTTTGTTATACAAAATTGACTAATCAAAAATTAGACATTAATTTGTTAGTTTGTCCTGTTGATATTACATTGTTTTACCATGTATTTTCATTATTCTTTCCATTATCTATTACTATTTAAAATGACAAAAAATGATCATTTAATGTTATCTTTCAGAATCCATTTCCATTGTTTGCTGCTTCAAATCACCCATTTTTAATTTGCTTGCATTCCTTATTCTCTTTATGCAATATGTCATTCAAAAAAAAAACATATATTACTCTTCATTTTTTAAGGCCGCATGTTTCAATCATCCTAATCAGTCTATCTTTTGTATCATATTATCTCTTAATGTCGATATTAATGCTATTCGTTTTATCGAAAAGGAAGTCATGCAAAGGAAGTAAAAAGGATATTGCAGTATTCTTTTCATCGCAATATTTTAAAGTACAAATAAGTTGAAAACTCAACAGAGTAGATTAAACTATGAAAATCGAAGGATGCTATACTAAACAAAAATGGAAGAAAGAAGGAAGTAAAAGGGTGACAGATACTATAATCTAAAGTTTCTTAGAAAAGTATTGTTGATAATGTGACAAAAGGGAGGAAAGCAACGACAAACGTGTCCTACATGTCGGTAAAAAGAATGGAAGCAATGCAGCAAGACGACTGAATCTCACATAATTCTGGACTGTTTCCATGGAACAGTAGTAGTTGTATAAAATGACACGTAAAGTGCTCGTATTATAATCAAACTTTTTGTCCTCACAACTTTTTTCTAATTTTCACCAGTTTCGAAAAAATCGATAAGCAAAGATATTAATTTATCATCAAACACATGTTAGAGGAAATTATCAAGATTCTTAAAAAAGCCTATCATTTTAACTAAGCAACGATTTATAAAAAAAGAAAAGAAAAATGGTTAATTTGTTTTATCAGTAATATTTCAACAAACAGCTAAGAACTCATAATCATCAGAAATTTTGTGTTCCTGGTGATTGAAAATGTGTGATTTCGTGAGTTCATGATCTTTCCTTAAAAATTTTTCGAGAAATAACCTTTGTTTCTTACAAATTATGTCTTTCCTATAAAACAAAGAAGCTTATTAGCGAAATACTTTATTTTAGCTTATTATCCATAACTTACTAATATCTTCTGAGCTGTTCGACATGGAGAAAGCAGATAAAATTCTGAATCAAAAAGGCAAGGAGACTTCCATTTTACCTTTCCACCCGATTCATTATAAGTTGTGAAAAATCCAACTTGTAGTACTAAAACGAAAAACTTCGTTTACCCACTTTGTTGAATATTACTTAAATATTACTTAATATTAAAAGGTAAGAATATTACTTCAAATAATATTTGGAGATATTCAATACTGGTCCTAATATCAAGCAAAAAAAGTAACACAATTAAACAAGCATTAATTTATTTGAACAATATATGCATATTATTGGCAGGCTTACGTAATATAATACATAAATTTTTATATATAACTGATTCTATGCTGTGACTTTAACAGCATTTCACAGAGTTGCTAAGCTTCAAATTTGGTAATAGTTGTTAAAAAAAAAAAAAAAAAAAACATGCTCCAAATTCGCCTGGAAACTTTCCATTTTTGCAAGATTTCAAAATATGGAAAACCCTACCTAAAATTAAAATATTAATCTTGGCAATGTTGCTTGTCGAGTCGTCAGATTGGACCGATGGGGCAGAACATTGTAACAACGATGGTCGCGAGCCCATTTGAGTAGGAATATTTAAAATAATTCGGATCACCACAACTGATTTGAGCAGATAGAGAAGGTAGCTAACTGCTGGATGAAAATAAAGTTTCTCCTTGCTCGGAGTATATCTATCACCCTTTTAATACCAACTGAGTTAATTTGTAGCCTATAAGCTACAAGCCACATGCACACATAAAGATGACGAAGAAATATAATACCTATATAGACACCTCCGATCTCACATACACTCATCCACCAACAGACAACTAGAAATATACAACTTGTTTCTCATCAAGGAAGTCAATATCAAGCTGCCTAGTGGTTGATGCAGTTGAGTAAGTTATAGCACCGTTTTCGTAATGACAACTTACTTTTATGGTAATCAGAGTTTTACTTGCTCAACCATTTACAACAGTACCACTGGATACTAGAAGAAATGATCGATGGAACAAGTAATCGGTTATCATCGAAAATAATATAAATATATGGCTTTGTAATAGATTGCCCACAACTTTCGTTCATTGCTCTATCTTCTACTACTCGACATATATTGTGTTGAAAAGAACCGATCCGACTTACTCGAAGAAAAAAGTAACATAATTAAAAACAATTGCTGATATTTTTTAACATAAATGTTTTTACAGAAGTATCATACAGTATGTAACATTCTTCTCCTTTTCCTCTTTCGAAATGTATTTAATTTAACATATAATTCTAATGTATTAAATTTTAATGTGCCACGGTATAAATGAAAAATTCAAATGAAGTGATTTAAACAATATGAATGAGTAAATATTATTCTTTCGAAGAAAAATTGAAATAATTTTAAAGTACTGGAGCTATCATTCCTAACGGACGATGGTAACTATGTGCGTGAGTATTATGAACAGTTATTTTAAAAAGTGTATGAATCTTTAATCTCAAATTCCATTTCAATAAAAGTTCGGGTTAATAAGAATTATTTTTTAGTGTCAAATCACTGTTTAATCGGAATCATCTTCTGATGTCGAATCAACATCTCTCTTTCCAACAACATTCTCCTTTATCGTTTGATCAGCTTCAAGTGATGCAACTGAATCAGTGAAGCTCGATCTAGACGCCAATTTCGGACCATCCAAATCGTAAAGATCGACAAAAATTTGTGGTAAACGAATCAGATCCAAATGTACACGATACCAATCCAGAGCCATTTGGTGCCGAACAGCTAAACAATTATTTTCCATTACTATAATTTATTTTTTATTAGATCTTATAGATAAGTTGTGCATTTCAAAAATACGTTATTTTTTTCTTAGTTTCAGAGCTTTTATGAGAAAACTAACTGGATTTGATGAAATGAGAACAGAGGTTTAAAATAAAGCTTCCCTAAACTATTTTGTTAGCCACCTTTTCATAAGCCTTTTCTTCTATAAGAAAAGACTTATAATCCTAAAACTTTCAAATCAGTGGAGGACAAATAAAGTATTGAAAAAGTAAAGAAAAAAATGAAACAAACCAATTGAACGAAGTAATTCTCGCTTTACAAGCAACGAATGGAACAACTCACTTTCCTCCGGCCGTTCTGTTGACAATTGTAATTTGAGTGCATACATAACCCTTTCACGTAAAATGAGCATTTTGTGAGGTTTTTCCAATTTTGGAATATTATCTAAAGTAATTGGTCCCTCTTAGATTATAAGCTTTTTTTTTTTTCGCTGTATTAATCTTATCTTTTAGAAGCTGGACATAAAAGATAAAAAGTTCGTTTGCAAAATTTTATTCTTTCATGCTTTTCTAAAACATCCGACTTTGATTTTTGCAAAATTTAACAGAATAAAACTTTTGCAAAACTTGCTTGAATACTGACAGTAATCATGTAAGCAAGTTAACAAAAAAAAACTATCAGCATAAGTCAGTCAAAACCATGCACTTCGAAAGCACCCTGGATGTTACAGCCTCCGGAAGAAATAACAAGCAATTAAATAATATCAGAAAAGTGACAGTTATAATAAGTGCACCACGATAAAGAGCTGAACAGTTTTTGATTCTGGCAAAACCCACTAAAGCTATACACGAATGGGCATCGTTAGAGCCAAGAGAAAGTAAGTATGCATGCATTTGTACTCGAATCTTAGAAAATTCACAAAGAAAAACTCACAAGGGTAGAAGCTCAGATTTCAAAGAAAGGTAAAGAACAAACCTTGTGTGAGTAGAAGGACAGCACAATACAATCCAAGTAGACATTCACTAAGCTTATAAGTTCTAAAGTTATCACCAAATTCGAACATTTGTTTAACAAGTACTAATCCGTAAACAATACTGAGCTGCTCTCGAGAAAAAGTTATTCCATGAGAAAATGTTAATGTTCCCGTTTTCGAATTCATAGTACGACTGATCCAAACAAGCCATACTTCGAAGAATGCAGTTTTGACAGCTAAGATTTGATCCTTGTGAGAAATAGTAATGAATCCTATAATTTAGGGTGTGAAACTTGCAGGAAGCAACATTTTTCTAGTCCAGTATTCTATAAAGAAGGAAAGCGTCAAATAATATGCATCCATTTCATCCATTTAAATCAACATATGTGTGTTGTATTGAAAAAAAAAACTACAAATCTCAAAAAAATTGACTTCCCTCCTCCCACTGGAACATAATTTATTTTTATTATGAAAAAATGCATTTAAAAAAATGTAAAAAGTAAAAACAAACCAGGTATGCGTTTAGAAAATTCAATGAAGCGCCCCAAGTCTTCGAACAGGGCTTCATTCATGGAATGCCACAAATGCTGTCGGTTAGCAGAGGGTAATTTAGTATGGGGAAGCTGAAATTTTTGGTAGTATTTCCTGGAATACTTAATGAAATTGTTAGGACGACATAAAACACAGGATATCTAAAAATCTGTTCACTTTCTCAGCCAGCATTGGTTTTAGGCAAAAATGAATCATACACGATGGATCACGCCAGGCTTCAGATCTTTTAAAGTGCTAGGTACGTAGTTGCAGCAAGTCAAGTGAGCCTTAGTTACGCTTTCTATAAAATTTTGCAAGCGCGCATTTGTAACATCCGCAACTTCGTAATGTGTGAATTTCGATGTTTCTTCCCACAACGGTATATTTTCGTTATCAATTTCATCTCCCTTATGTCGTGGTGTTCGTCCATAACGCACTGCTTAAAAGATTTAATTTAAAGTAATCATATTTCCGAGAATTTCAGTCCCCATAAAACTCTTACAGTATAGTAAACTTTCAGTTTTTCAATGTAATTTTTTCTTTTGAACGAAATATTTTTTTTAATTTTTTAAAACTAAATACAGTTTATAGCGCTTGCACTTTAGAGTATTAAGCCATTCATATCCATTCTTTCTACTTTTCATTTCAAAAGTGGTATGACTTAAAGTAAAAAAGGAAAGCGGCATACAATCGCGAGACATTCCAACAGCAAGGCATTTCCTAAACCGGCAGAACTGGCATCGGTTTCTGTTTAAACGATGTATGTGACATTTTCCGTCTCTCAAACATCGATATTCCATTTGTTTTTGAATACTGCGCCGGAAAAATCCCTAAATGAATTAGTCCTAAACAAATTAATCATTAATACCACAAATGCATTGCTTTGAATTTTTTCAGAGTCTTAAAGTTTTATTACAAGGTAGTAATTAAGTAAAGTTCGCTTATATATTTTCCTCCACCAACAGCTTCTGATCCGTATTTATACAGCAAATTTTGCTGTGTCTACAGAAAACAGCAGCATAACTACGATGCATTAATTCTAGCTATTATATTTTATAGGAAGCATAAGATAACTGTTTGAAGATATTACTATTGCGCGATTTGATTATTATATGATAAGAAAAATGGGACTTGTTCTGAAAATATTGATAACAGCGACGAAAATGAAGATATAAATACAGAAGGGAATTTTTAATTGTAAAGCACCTTTAATTTCAACAATAGCTGACACAATAAAGTCAGCTGTCTAATCACTAGTCAAGTATTGGTACTAGCAAGTACTTTTACTCATACCATTCTCAGTCAGAAGATGTCAGGCTAATCGGTCTTACATCATCTTACATTAATATTCTCTTACAAATCCATAATCAGAACGATGAATGTAACTAACAAGAATATTTTTCCACGTAGCATTGACTAATTCTTCTTAAATTTTCCGGAATTTCAAAAGTTCAAAAAAAAAAATTTTTTTTTGAGCTTTGAATATCTTGAAATAGGAGTGAGAGTAAATGTTACCATTTCACATTCTTATTGTAAATTCATCGACACTGAAGAAAAATAAGAAATGAAAAGTGTTACTTTACATCCTTCACAGGCTGTAACTCCATAATGAAAGCCACTCGATTTGTCACCACATACCTTGCATAATGCCGGCTTGTTATCTGTTGAACTGTCTGGATAAAGCTCTAAAATCAGGTTTCAGTAGGTTGCAGTTTGTTCTTTAAAGTTCAGAGCACATTTTATGCATGAAAATGAATGGAAAATCCAAACTAAAGTTATACTAACTTGTGCAGTTAATCATCAATTGTGGATTGAAGAAAATACTTTAATGAGAACTGGTAAAGTAGTATATAAATAAGTTTTGTTCACCAAAACAATGCAAATGTTTTCAGCGGCAACCTCAACGTGAAATACGCTGCATCTGATCGGCGAATTATTTCAATTATTATGCAGACATGCATCCCTCAAAATTAAAAATTTGTTAAAATTTTACCTTATGTGCAAATTCGAAATTTCCTTCTCACTCAAGATTTCTCATTTGTCGAGAATGTCAAATAAGGCCGGAAATAAATGAAATGTACTACACGCAGGGAAAGTGAAGGTAATAAATTAGAACTTTCCATCTGATAAAGATATATTTTCATTTTTGAAGATTAATGAATTAAAACTTTGTTCGCCCTCGTCAAATACCAGAAATGCGACAAATGAATAAAAGAAGTGGGAATGTTCCTTAATAGGGCGTGCAAATATTTGACAAAAAAGCGAAAATTCCAAAAGGAAGTACAACAATCTTCTTTGCGAATTCATTTCACACTTTTTTTTAATGATAAAAATTTATTCAAATAACACTATCCTCAAAAATTTATAGGTACAAATAACAGCTATTTTCAAAAAAAAAAAAAACTGTCCAAAGCTGCTATAGTAATGCAAATCTAAATGAAATCCAGATGAAAGACAAAAGTGTCTATAAAAATCGGTGATATGAGCATTTTTTTTTCCTACAGTAGCTTTGAATAGTATTGTCCCTTTTTGTTTCCTTTAAGCAGCTCTTTTATCCACTTTATTTCTCTCAAAAATACTTTCGTGAGAAAAGAAGTAGAAATTATGGCAAACTTACCAGTAAGTTCAGATACTTTTTTTTGAAAATGAAAACTAAACTAACACGGCAATTACATTTTTAAAATAATAGTTTAGGTGAAATTTGCCCCAAAAAAAACTTCGCTATGATGTACCACAAGTATGTACTACAGGGTGCATTTCTCCACTGCCTGTGAATGATAGGTACGTCACATATTTCGATACATGCAGTGCAAAACAAAAGACAAATAGCAGTAAAGAATGTACTCATTTCTATGAAACTTGAAAAATTAAAATAAAAAACTTCTGAAAAATCGAGAAATGCTCTAACCATCTGTAGTACGTGAAGCTAAACGTGATTGCCCATTGTTGGCTGATTCGTTACCGTAATAAGATCTATCACAATAACGTACATCAGGCAAGCGCGTTTGTTGTGGATACGACTGCACCCCATTATAGTTCCCAGACGGGATGACGTAACCATTAGTTGAATTCGTTGTTTCATTCTGCGGTATTACTGCAGATCTAGTATCCGGTTGCTGAAAGTTTGAGGTTTGTATAAATTCAAGTTGTGGAAAGGTTCCCGACGATCCGTTCCAATTGTTCTGGATGATATCTACTGGACATTGTGGTGTTGCGTTATATGGCACAGATGCAGCAGTTGGCTCAGGAATTACTGATGTTGATGATTTTCTCGCCGGTAAAAAAACTGACTCCGTTGATGCTTTATTCGAGGGAACGGGCCTTCTTGGTGCTGACGTTACAAAACTCATCGTTGCAATCTGAACAAATGAGTTGATATTTCAGTTAAACAGATTGATGATACTAGTAAATTTGAGAGTCGAGTGATTGATCAGAATGCTCGCAGAATAAGGACTGAACTAAGTTCAGTTCGAGAAAGCAACAATAGGGAACAAGGAAATGCTGCGGTATTTTATGCAATGATATAGTGCAGATAACCTTATTTAAATGAGTCGTAATGGAATACATAAAGAGCGATTAAAAGGAAGGGATGCGTTTCGGTCTAGAAATTTACAATTGGAGATTACCGCTTCAAAGTCCACATTTCATTTTCTTCACTTCAACTCTCTCTCTCTCTCTTTCCCTATCTCTAGCGGTATCTCAGAAGTATACAACTGCTACCAGAATATCATCTCAAATCCCCCCAAAAAAAGAAAAAAAACCAACCAAAAGAAGTAAGAAAGAACAGAAATTCCTACTGGATGATAAATCGCCAGTCTTCAATGTATCAACCGTAAATGGAATAACAAGCTTCCCTTAGATACAGCACCACTAAGCTGGACTCTTCCTATCACATATGCATCACTCAAGTCAAAGTACCACAGTTACAACCATTATCGCTCACACAGTTCACGTGGTCACTGCCTCTCACTCCATCTAACGTAGTGACCATTAGTAGTCATTTTATTCAGCGTGTACCATAGTGGTCAGGGTATAATGAAACAGATGGAAAGAGGCGAGACATTTATGATGAACAGGGGGGGGGGGGAGGAGGTTGAAAGAGTGAAATAGACAAGTCAGTGAATAAAGAACAATATGAGCATTATGAGCATAGGTCAGAGGTCATCAGCTAACGAGACACATAGATATTCGTTGTACATTGTACTGTGCCTACCACTACATTCACCAAAACAGTTGAATGTATGATGAAATAGAAAAATGGGGGTAAATATAACGACTAAAAGTCACCCCTCAAGAAGATTGTTTCTGCGCGAGAGTCTCATCTACAAGATCAACTGATGAAGTTTTAAAAATGCACCTTTCAAGCAGCCAGGAATTGATAATACTTGGTCTACTATGAGAAACCATTTTTATCAGTAAGTTGAAAATGCTCTTTTCTTATAAACTATTCATGAATTGATAATAAGAGGTACTTGTGATCTCTTTATCATCTCTATCAATGACAACAGAAATCAACACTATGGCAATCTTTAGAAAACTTTCAATGGCGTTTTTACATCTAAGAAGTTCTGAAATGTCATTTCAAAACTTCGTCGATACGCTGCTGTTATGACGAAGTGCAAAAAATCTGCGCAACTTTGTAAGCAGCATTTTAAGAGGCATCGATTTGAATGTGCTGCCCTACCTGTACTAAAAACAATGTTGATATATTTGGAAAAATTAAAATTAGCTTCAACCTTACACCTAACTCAAATTAGATGAGCAAGCGGGCAAGTAAATTAAATTTAAAGAAAGTTCAAGAAAAAAGAAATTAAAAAAATCGTGCACAGACAATAATACATTGTCATCCATAATATTTGGACAGCGACCAAGTTACATCATCAACCAGTTTCTCACAAATGCAGTTTATCGCCATTAAAAAATGGACAAATGTCGACGTAAAGCTTATGAGTTAATGAAATAGTGCTTCCGCACCTAAAAGACTGCTTAAAAAAATCCATTATTTAACCGAAACATATACAATTTAGGAAATGGCTAGTTACCATGACTGGAGTAACATACGCAAGCCATACCACAATTTCGAAAGAGTGAGCGCAATCATTCATTTTTAAAGATTCTGCTTCAAACTGAGCTTGGATTTGCATTTTACCGCTGTATCAGCATTACAACCCAAACCATAACGGAAAAAAGCTAATTAATGAAGATCTCTCAATATAATTCTATCATTATCGCATTGCCCAATACTACAACATCACCACTGCAACTATTTAATTTGTATTACACGAGATCAAAAAAATCGATTTGCCGCCTTCCTAAAATCCGGAATAGCGGTAGAGAAACCGTCTCAAGTATACAAAGGTGATAATGCAATCGTTTAAATAAAGGGCGTTATTGTGTGTGGATTACCTAGGGCTAATGTCAATGTAAATTTTGAAGAGGCAAAAAAATTGACCAGTGTATGAAACAAACTGAAAAATTTTTTAATAATCGGCGCCAGTTCTACACAATCGTTCGGTATAATTTCATGTTAATTACATATAAATAATACACAATGCAAAATAGATAAGAAATGCAAATCGAGCAACTACAAATATATTTTCCCTTCTAAAGTCCATTTCCCTTCAGATGACCAGTGAATCAGTTAAGAATTCAAATGAATGCCTTCACTTAATTTTCCCTCACCGACATTAAATATATTGTCATATATATATATATATATATATATATATATATATGACAGAACAGATACTCGTAATAAATCACTTAAGTTTTTTCCAAAAATAAAAAATCAGGATGAGAAAATTGGTGGAGGAATAGTGAGCGCAATTGCTTCCCATTCCACCGGAAAGAAGCAAAGTGCCGCCATTACAGCACTCACAGCAAGTATCAACAGTTGCCAGTGCAAGAGCAAAACAGATCCATAAAAGAAACTCAGCGAAGCCGCAAATGCCTGGAAAAAATCAAAATAGAATATCATTTGTCGAAGCAAATTTAGCAACAAATTAATGAGATTTCAAAATCCTCCCCTAAAAAGTAGAAGGAATCTATGAAACAGCTCACCATACCTAAAAAAGACTGTATGTCAATTCGTTAATATAAACCTGTCAACTAAAGTAACGGCATATAACCGTCAGTGACACTGCAGTCGTTTTCCTCATCCTAAGAATGATAACTATGTGTTCATCAAAAAGATTAAAACACTTGTTAAAACAGCTATGGTCAAAAGATCCTACAAAAAGTAAGACAACGCAATCCTGACATGAACCATTAACGCAATTCGATGCAGAGCATCGTTCTGTTGAATAGGAAATACATCATGAGATGTGAGAAGAAATAGAACTTCAAACTAAAATTATTCCATCAATGTTTTTCCTCAGTTCAAATAATTGTTATAACAATTCTTGCCTTCAAAAAGAAAATAAAACAGAACAGCTGGTCTTTTTCTCATTTAAAATTAAGTGAGAGCAATGAATGAAACTCGATGAACCTTTAGTATCACATGATAATTTCAACACAGTACTGATTCTTTAAGGTCATACGAAAAATCTGAGCTTATTTTTTCAGTCAAATTAAAATCTTGAGCATACGCATTAAATTTTACCCCGCATTATGCTGTACACCTTTAGTAGGAGTACATTTTGATAACGTTTTCGAGACATTTATGGTACCTGGTAAAATTTGAAGAGCGCAAATGCATTAGAACTGTTGATGGTATAAAGAGAGCTAAGAAGTGAATAAATCTGTGTACTCCAACAACTATCAGCAAAACCAAGCATAAAACCACAAATCAAGGTTAATGAATAGCTGAAACTGAATAAAAGTAAGCTTATTTTGTGCATAAGACTGACTGTACTTAATTTACAGCTTACTCATAACTGACTAGTCTATGCACCATACGATAACTGTGGATGTGATACAAAAATTCACAGAGAGCAGAACCAGTACAGAATGTCAAGAAACTTCCACTATGGAAATCTATTATTTCTCTGAAGGAGATTAAAATTATATGAATTACGAACTTAAATAAATGAACAGAATAATTACTAAAGTAAATTCAATTCCTAAAGTACTACGAAATAAATTATCTTTAGCAAAATCTTTACAACTTACTTTGGTTCAATGTAACCTTCCGAATATGTTATATGCAACGGTGCCTCCATCGGAACGTTCAAGAAAATAAAAAAGAAGGTCAACAGATGAACAACAGTACCCAAAAGGATTATTGGATTGCGACCATAAGCAATCGATTTATTTGCGAAAACACCAAACGCAAGACCACCTGTGAATCGTAAAAATAAAATTTTACGAAAAAACACTGAGCTATTTCTGCCAAACTTCTATCTACCAACATGAAGCAAACCTGAGCCTTACCAACAACTTGTCCTCCTCCAACAGCAAGAGTGTTGTAGGCAATGATTAATCCATTATCTCTCAACCGTCCAAATGATGCAAGGCATGCTGAATAAATACCAGTGTAAAATGTCATTTCTATACCCGTATACATAAACACCACGGCAAGCAGCAACATTCGTCGAGTAACCGCCACACGAAGTGTATTGTCTTAAACAATACAAAATAAATTAAAAGTGCAAGCATCATTATGACTGCAAATCAAGATGATTTTATAGACTCGCCCCAACATTTCCAAGCCTGAAAATTTTGAAATCTTGAGGATGTGGAACTTCTATTAAAACAAGCAGTAAGTACTTCAAGGACGCTATCAACGAGCGAATGTCAGCTTCCAACATCATTACCATACAACACTTTCTTTTTTTATGCTTTAGGGATTAAAAAAATGTAACTAACGGAATTCGTCTTTCCATAGAACAACAGTGTGTGGTGTTAGTGTACCACGTACTGATCGCGTTTCAAAATTAATTCGACCATTAACAATACTAACGTTGTTTTCCTCTTCCACTACACCTTCATCCCTCTCTCCATCAGAATGTCCAGTAGAACATGCCATTCCACCAGGTTTCGTCGGTAGCAGTGCTAATATTATAACACCAATAAAAGTAACCGTAGAAAATACTGCATAAATTAAGCTCACCGAAGAAACGATAGAACTGCAAATAATTTTGTTACGAAACAGATACTCAACTACTTAACTATTTATATAACTGAAACTATATTCACCACTTATTGATTTCCAGTACTGTTGTAAATAAAGATGCGTTTGAACGATAGACCAATCAGTGATCGTTGTGAGATATGCATATTATCTGATCTTAACTGCACTGATTTCACTCAAAACATTCATTAAAACAGTGAAAGAAAGTCAAAGAGAAACTGAGAGCAATCTAAAGTACCAACCCCGAAAAAGAGATGAAAAATAGGAAGAGACCACCAAAAATGAAACATGATTGTAGCGTAGCCCAAAGAATACCACTGTTACGTGCAACAGTATCAATCCGTGACCACGTTGTGAGATAGACCCCTTGCCCAGTCCATAGCACTAAAAATATTTATCACTGATGAACTAGTCTGAAAAATTGAACAGAAAAAATCTCCTAAAATATGGTCCTACGCAACTGATTCCAAATTCAACACGAAACTACTATCAGTTTCATGAGTAACTTACTTGCAGCGCCAAAACCTGTGAGTGCCGAAAATATATAAAGAAAATACATATTCAGATACATGAAACCAAGCATAAAGATACAATATGCCGAAGCTCCAAAAATCATTGCCCATTTCGAACTTATAACATTTATTATAGCGGGTGCAAGCAAATTTGAAAATGTAAAAGTTAGGTAAATGATAGCCAAGCTAAAAAGTACATCAGTTTATATAGGAAAACAAACCTACATTCATGAAATCAATATTTCTTATTTATTTGACTGAAGACATCCAACTCATGTTATCGGTAGCGGTATGAATGATAATAGTAGTTCATGCCACTACTGACACGCAACTAAGTGATAACTACGAGAAAGTAACATACATGTAGCTGAGCTACAACTAGATGCTAACGAAACACGAATAGTATCGATAGTAAAACACTGAAAGCACCGACGACCTAGACAGGGGAAGAAGCACAAAGTATACCTATAATAACCGGATTGTTCGGTTATACCCGAAGCCGGGTGTTTTTCAGCAGCATTTTTGATAACAGCAATCTGAAATTGAAGAAAGGATTAAAGCAAAGGGAATTTCTTCATGAGAAAGAAAAAATACGTCACTGAAAGAAAATACATGCAAATAACTGCTGTTTTTGATAAAAGCAAAGATTTACTAACCTCAATCATTCCTTGGCTATTGAAGGCTGAAAATATCAACATGAAGCCCAGGCCAAGCTGGATAATACTACGTAAATCCTTCTCAAATAATCCCATTCGACGTCGTATGGGAGGAAACTTCATACGCGTCTCCTGCAAATCATCATTTATCGTCAAACAAATTGAATGATGCAATGAAATTTTCCTAGGAATGAGCTCAACTGCTACAACAATTGACCCATCCTAATCCCGAAACCTACCAATACAACACACCTTGAATTTCACATCCCTGTTGATACCATAAGGTCCAGACGTCCAGTCGCAAAGTATTGGACGGCCGAATTAGCAGTGCAGCAGGCAGCTGCCTGCCTATGGAAGGGAAGAGTGGGCTGAGTGTTGAAGGTTGTAATGGACTGTTAGGATATCGCTACTCTAAGGTCCAGCATTTTGAGTTCATCAGACATTATGGAATAGCAGAACACTGTCAACTTTACCCACTTTTTTTTGTTTCTCTAATTTGAATATATGAAAGATTTCCAATCAAAAATCCAATCATAAATTATGATATTACCATTTGATAGGTCTCTATTTTTTTTTTTGCCTTCATAGCATCAATACTGCTTAGTTAGTTGGTTTGATAGCGAGAAGTGTAATTTATGGAAATGACCATTTGATGAATGAAACTTCGATCTTATATCGATTTTATATTAAACCGTTCGCCTTTAATTAGTGATAGTATCTTCATAAATGAACATTCCCTAAGTACAGTGAAGAAAATTGGCAGTCAACGTATGACATTCTTTGATATTTGTTGTTAGCAGTACATTTCTTGTACAAGGCCTCATCAAGGTAATGGGACCTGAAATTTATGGGAATAAGAAAAGGAATGCTTTTTTTGGCAAACTGAAATTTGTTGGGGATCAAAGTGAGGCAATAGTTGCATTTTTTAGTCTGCATGTGATTGCTTAATCAAATGCGTGTTGGGGTGAAGTTGAGTCATCCTCGCATTTTTGGCTCTAAAAATGAGAAAACTGCAAGAATTCTGCCATTCATTACGAACTATTTGGTGATTTTTCATACACCAAAATAATCTATCAATCATTTGCAGTTTAAAAATTGTGTTGTAGCAACTCGGCAGTGAAGGACTGATTTGTAAGTGGGAAGAGAAGGGACAGGGACATACTTACGTAATCTGATGATTTTTCAACATTCTGGAAAAGCGTACATCAATTACTGAAACACTCCATTCATTAACGAATTAATGTGAATAAAAAAAATATCAAAGAGAGTCAGGATTGAAACGTACAGACATTTTTGTCACATGTGTTTATTGTTATTCTGTAATAGTAAATGACGCAGCTAAGAGTTTCCGCCTAATGTTCTGCCACACATGCCTGATGAATTGAGTAAGGCAAAACAACACCTTTACAATCAAATGAGTTCTATGGAAACATCCAACTTGTCAGCAACTAGCAAGAAAAGATATCATATCTGTCGAGTTGTAAACAGTGCAAGGATGGTGATTGCTTGGCCAAACCTAATAAAAATAAAAATATGCACTGTTCGTCCTATTGTTCTGCCACACATGCTTGAATTTTGATACTTCCTTAATATTGAAATTTGTATTGGCTTGCATCAGCTATCAATTGTCATATATTTAAACAGAATGTAAGTTTATGTCTGCTTTCGAAATGTATTCACTTTATGATTTTTGAAGTTATATTGTATGAAAAACTATTCTTATGCCCATTCTTTCTTCATTATTTTCGAATTATATTGTCAATAAAGCTCAAATTCTTTTCTTTCATTGATCAAAATTTTAACAGAATCCTGTGATTTCTAAAACACTAATTTCAAATTCATTCATTAGAGGGCATAGGCTAATAAGTTATGCAAATAACTTCCGGCATTATTTTTAATTTAACTGGTATAAAAACTTTATTTTCATTTTCTACAGCAGTTATCTGAATTATCGCGACGTCGTCTATTAGTCGTGGTTGTATAGCTTCCTCTGAGTGCCTTATAATGACTACAGTGACAGGGTCTAAATTTTCAACGGTGTCTAGTGAAAAAAATGAACGCCGATGCATGAGTAGCGTTATTAGATTGTAAGTTGACAACAAGAACTCTACCAGTTCTATCATCCTATTGGAAAAAATTATCGTTTTGTACTGATCTTTTCAATGCATTTTCGTTTTGCGTAAAGTAATACTGATAACAGGATTCCATAGCGATACATATATCCATCTAGGTATCCTTTGACTAATTACTCTGTACAAAACAATGATTATGAGGATCCTCCACAAATATTCGATTATAAGCAATCTTTGAAACTGCGACAACAATATGAAAATAATGGTATGATTCGCACGGTGCAAGGTGTTCTACTAGGTCATCAAAATTCCATCATTCACGTGTTGCTCTTAAAAAATGGAGTTGGTCAGATACAGTCGTCGAAGTTGTATGTTTTCCTTTTTCCTACAACAGTACATAGACTTTGAGTTCAACAAATTAACTGCGGACTAATGGCTTTGTACAACTAAGCATCTGAAAAAAAAATTGATTCAACGCGATTCACGTATAGTTTACTTGTAGGCCTGAGGTGACACTGTATAACAGTGAAGATGAAATCGATGGAATGAAACGACTGATGGCTGAGGTACAAATAAGTTTACTTGTTATTAAAGCTCTAGTACGTCGTGGTAGATGTTGGTAGATCTACTTTTCCAGGTTATGGGATTTAAAGATACTGCAGAAGCAGTTTGCCAAATACAACATGTTGCCGCAAAATGGTGGCGTCCCAATTTTGAAGAATCCATTGTAGGTCACTTCCCGAGAACTTGTGTCATAAAATGACAGTAAATGAAGTGTAAAATAAAATCTACAGTTGTCCACTTGCTAACCTTTTTTTTTTTCCTTAATTGACGATCAATGTTATAGTTCAATAGTGGAGATGTTACAGCCATCTAATTTTAAGAATCTTTTTGAGAAAGAGAAAGATTTTAAGAAAATGATGATGTAATTAAAACTGTTTAGTATCCTTATATTCCTTCACATATCACTAAACCAAAAGAGATGATAAAAGTATTCGTCGTGGAGCTTCCTAAGCAAACAACATTCACAATTGCGAAAAACAACGCATTGATAGCAGCTCCTGTTTTTGAAATTTACAATAATATAAGTAATTATGGACATATTATTGCAAGTCTGCCACATGTTCTTGGCCGGTTAGCTCTTCCTTTAATTCTATTCTCTTTCTAGACTAAATTGGACATTAATAGATTTGGTAAAATGATCATGATGACTTTTCAAAATGTTTCAATTCTAGATTTAACTACCTCTACTATCCCTGAAGTTGGTTTTAACAACAAATCATCGATGTCGAAGAAATATGTGATTAAAAGAACAGTGAGCAACTAAAATCTTTTTATTTACATTTTATAGTGATCATTCTAAATATCTTTTTTATACATTATTTTACAAAATCATCCAATTTCCTTAAAAGTCTTATTTGCAAGTCCATACTTTATTGGTATTTTTAAAATTTATCAGTGAAAAATTAGTGATTTTCTAGTAATGTTCTATGAAAATTGTTATGGATTAATTTCAATTTATTGTGTATATATGATAATCCATTTTTAAATTAAACTACACTCTGCAGCATAAATTTTTTTTTCTAATTTCTTGTATTTTCTTTTTTGCTAATCGTCGCTAGTGATACTTACTACCAGAATCTAATAATTATACTGCGCTCGACAAATTTGTGAATCAACGGTTTAAACTTGATTTGTATTATTTCCGTTTTCTCAGTAGTGATTACTTAACCGAATATTTTTCCTGTCATTGTGTGCAGAAAACAGAAGAAAAAATTAACATCAAGCAACATCACATTTCATTAATCAGTCATGGATATTGTTAAAGATATACTGATGGCATTTTCCAATAAAAAAGTGGGTGCATAGAGATAACTATCATGATACTATCATTCAGTAAAATATGCCCAATAGTGAACCGTTAACTGGAAAGCACACTTCTGTTATATTTCGTAATTGATGTCTTCTCAATAAATTATATTGACAGTGTATGCAAAGAAAATGAGCATTTTGGTTGAGTCTCGATTAGCCTTTAAACATCAGAGGTTATGATCTCCACCTATCTAAGATCAACGATGGTAAGTTAAAAAAAAAGTTTTTAAGTATCCATTAAGTATCAGTATTTGATATTACCTCAAATTCCTCTAATTTTGATTCAACCTTAATCAATTTTAAAATAAAATTTTAAAAAAAATTCAAAAATTGCATGTTTAGAGCTTTGTTATTTCTAGCAAAGTGTGTGATGTCTTTTTACAACATTCTTGGTTTAATCACTGTTCTCTTCAACAACTATAAATCATTATTCTAGTTGACTTCCTGAAAAATCTTTCGCCTGGATGTTAATAAGAGTAGTGGTTTAGTGGTTTAGAATTTTTGTCAGTCAATTTGGTAACAAAATTTGAAAAGCTCAAAGTGATTGTTACGCAAAAAAGTATCCAGATCCCATTTGTTTGGTACATTACACTTAAAAACTATAATGAACAATAAATTACTATTAAATAAACTTAAAATAATAATATTATCTTAACGCAACTAAAGGTAAACATGAAGAAAAAAACTTGTAGATTTTCAGAGGATTCAGTTTTCAACTTTCTAAATATGTGAATTCCTCGGACCTGCGGAAGAATCTTAAAAATTTTTTCAAATTCGGAGAAATTCAGAGTTATTTTGCAACTGCATATGACTACATAAGCCTCAATTATATATATATATATATGAATCATAAGCCTCAATTATATATATATATATATATATATGAATCATAAGCCTCAATTTAACTAAGCATGAATATATCATTTCAGATAATTAAATTTTCATCAGTGACTGGACAAAAGGCTGAAGCAGAATGCTGATTGAGCAAAATGGTGCTGTTCGTAACAAAGCACTGGTAACGGCAGCATATAATTCATTATCATATCTTTACCGTTTGGTTCTACCAGCAATTAACGATCGCATTTTCTTTTAATTGTAGTTAAAAAGAAACATTTTGAAATGGTATACTTCTTACATGTATTTTGTTTGATTTCACAAACAATTTGAGTACCATTATTTAGCTTATTTGGTGTAATTCAAAGCTGACCGATAGATAATATCCCTAACGAGGTTCATTTTTCATACTTTCTCAGACGGTTAATTTACCGGACTATTTCTTATCACAGTCTTTGCAACACTTAAAACATGGGTACATCATCCTTCACATAACTTTTTTAATACTTCTGATTATTGTTGCATGATAATTTTACAATTAGCATGCAGAAAAGGATTGAATCGAATCAGATTATTTTAAAGTGAACAAATGAAAATAGTTTAATTAAATGTGTTTTTACTATTCATATCTAAGCAACATTTTATAGCAAATGGTTCCCTTTCACTAAAAATACCTTCGAACTTTAAAATATCCTCTATATAAAAAGGACAACATTCAATTATTAAAGAATTTAAGACCTAATCAGTAATTATTGATGACTTCTTATAGCTGTACATATCTCGCAAACTATATATATATATATATATATATATATATATATATATATATATATATATATATATATGAATGACCAACATTACCAGCATAATTTGGTATACAATAGTGAAAAAGATCCATAATTTCAACTGCTAAATTCATATTTATAAACTGCCCGATAAAATAGGCCATCACCGATTCTGATTATTTGGCATTAGAAAGCAAACATGCAGCACTAGTTATATGATTTTCTTCAACTACATCTTTGTTTTAATGTTTGGAAGACTATTTTCCTGAAAATGCTGTTATTGATGGATGTGCAAAATTTCCGAAAAAAAGTCAGCCTTTGATAGAGTTTAATAAATTGGGTTTGTTACATTTAACATTTACTATACAATTGGATAAGGTTGTAATCGATAATCATCTTTCTGTCATAACTATATTATCTGTTACCAATCAATTCCGTTACCAACAATTTTTATTTATTCTCTCTGTGTCATTAGTGATAAGCAGCAATATTGCTATTTTAGCTATATTAAACCACCGGCAAAGTTTGTTGTTCGTGATGAGAGTATTTTATTATAACAATTATTCTTTTTTTTTTTTTGCGTTGTAATTAATCTCGCCAGATTATTCAACTTCAATAATAGGCACTTTTAAAAATTTAATTTGAGTAAGTCATAAAAATTTTAATATATCAGTAGTAAGATGACATTTTTTAAATTTTGCTTCTTTTCCTTTTATAAATCATATTAATTATGATCTCTGTATTTCTTCTACAAATGCGTTCTCTTAGCAAATAGCTGAATGCGGAACTTTAGAAAGTGACTCGTCAAACTTTTTTGCTCACAGCTGATGTTAGAAGCTCGAGAAACCTATCAGTTGAAAGTTAAAGGAGCTGTGATGGCTTTCTAATCAAGAATTGATCTCTCGTTTTCTTTTGTTTACATAGCATTTGAAAGACCATTGAACAGATAGATAAATGTCTTTTGTAAATGTGTTCCAGCCACTATTATTTCGTTGATTTTTTTACTTCAAATTATAATCACTAACATAAATTTCACGAAATATTGGCTCTAGACAAAACAAATTATGTGATAAATATCTGGTAATTGTAATTCTTTGGAGGAGCAAAAAGTAGTTGAAAATTTTGACAGCTAGGAAATAATCCATACTTAAACTAATTTCCCAGATGTCATTGAAAATATTAGATGATTTATGGAATTTTTGAGTAGCATGATCAATATAGTTGGAAGTGATGATAGGTACATGAACGTATCTGCATATACTAATTCATTAAAACAACGTTGTATCTTTAGTTAATGCTGCAAAAAAAATTCCGATATCTTTTCCATAATGCTTTGTCATGCTTTAGACGGAAGAAGAAAGCCGCGACATTTTATGGGAATTTTAAATGATTGAAATAATCACTTTTTACTTAATTACCTTAAATGGAATCGAAAGTGTTATCAAACAAGTACCATCCGATCGACGAATTGATTGCTTGCCGAAGCCAGGAGCTAACAAAGCTACATGCTTATCTCATAAATGCATTTGGGATGATGAACATTATTGTGTATGTTTGCAGCATGTTTCAAGTAACTATTAAATTTAAATCTCTCAACCAGATACTTTTCTTATAAAAATAATGTTTTAGGATACAACTGTTCCAGCCTGCTACTTTCCACCTGATACAGGATACATGGTTGCTCAAAAATCTAATTTTTCGCTAAAATTGCAAAAATTAAAAGATGCGGCACTGAATCCTTATGATACTGATATACCAGAAATTGAAGTACAAATTGCGAATTCTCATTCGGTGCTAAATGTGCGAATTGGCGTTGAAGGAAGGTAAGCTTAATTTAATTAACACATTCAAAGTACCAATGCAAATAAATGATCTGTTGTCTTTTCCAAAATTTGTTTTATTAATCATTGGAAATTTTTAACATACACAAGTGACTCACTCTAGTTTACAATGATTACTTTTTTATTCAACCATTTCTGATCACTTTAATATTACGTCCAGTAGAAGCCTCTAAATTTGCCACATCAGATACGAACCAACGATGCCTTTACCAAGAGCCTGGAGTACAAACGAGCAGCATTTTACAACGGAAATTTCCAATGAATCTGAACTTTTCATACTTCGAATTCGTCGTATAACAACAGGACAGCTAATTTGGGACACATCAATCGGTATTTTAGAAAGCTTTTCTTGTGATGGAATAGTTAAAAGATGTCCTCATTTGAAGAAATAAATTTTCTTCTTCAGTACATTAAAGTGCATTTTAGGTGGTTTACTTTTCGCTGACCAATATATTCAAATTGCAACTTTTTTGCCGACTGATAAAATTTATGGATTTGGTGAACATGTTCATCAAAACTTGAAGGTAAGCAATTAAAGGAAGGACTTTATTTTGAAAAATTATGTCAAACTAATCAAATTCATTATACTTGCTCAACTCCAGAATCCTTCATGCATATTTAGCACAATTTCACAAAATATACAACATGGCCAATGTTTGCAAGAGATCAGCCACCTGATCCGGAAAATCCATATCGCAATTTATACGGGGTACATCCGTTTTATCTTGGCTTGGAAAAGGACAACAATGCACATGGTGTACTTCTTTTGAATAGTAATCCACAGGTAAAAGTATTTGCCATGACATGTTTGGTTTGATTGATCTGATTAGACTGTAAGTTAAAAATTTTTAATGGAAAGTAATGTTGTGCAGGAAATAACAACAGGACCCGGTCCACATCTGATATATCGAGCTATTGGTGGAATACTTGATATGACATTTTTCCCAGGACCAAAGCCGGAGCAAGTTATACAACAATATCTTGAATATATTGGCCGACCATTTCTTCCAGCTTATTTCGCACTTGGATTCCAGGTATGCTTTTTTTTCAGCTTTTCTTTCCTGATCTTTGGAAATTTATTGGATTTTTTCGAAATTAATAGAAATAACAAAAATTCAGTTTTGTCGATACGGTTACAATAGTTTAATTGAAATGAAGGATACAATTGAAAGAATTCGAAATGCCAGCATACCAATTGATATTGCATATGCGGACATTGATTATATGCAACGATACAAAGATTTTACCATCGGAAAAGTATGATTTAAAAATTGATTATTTTAAATATTTCATTTCTTTTATGCTTACTTTTCGAGAATAAAGGAAACCGAAAAAGGTTCAATCTAACATGATTGTAAGCTATAATTACGTATAATGCAATGCATCAAAATCAAACTTTTGTCATAGTGCTTCTGTGATAGTTTAGGATAACTGGTCAGATTTTAAAGAGTACGCTGATGAACTACATAAAAACGGAATGCATTTGGTGCTCATTTTCGATCCTGCAGTGCAAGTAAATTATTCCAGCTTTCACAGGGCAATTAAAAAAGTAAGCTTGATTTCTGCAATTTAATTTCTGCTTAACAATCCTATTTTTAAACTCATCGTTTGTAAGTAATGTTATCGCATCATTGCTGTTCTTGAGAAACACTAAACGAGGTTTTTAATGCAGTATTTTTTATAAGTTATTGTGGCGAGCAGATTTTAGTGCTACTACAAAAATAAAAGATTAATAAATCCCAAGTTGTTAAAGAAGTATGCTGTATTCTGATTCAGATTTTCTGATTTCAGAATGTAAGTTTTATAGAATGGGAGAATTATAATCAAGTACAACGTGAAATTCAGAGCAAATATCCACTAACAAAAGGGACAAAGGTTAGTTCTATAAATGAATTTTTAATTATTGACTACTTGAGTTTAATAGTCATGTTTAATTTCAAAACGGGATTAAATTTGCGTTACTTGAATTGTGTGGATCTCGTATTTAGATAATGCTTTCGGTTGTGTGGCCAGACTGGCATGTTGCTTTTCCTGATTTTCTGGATCCAGAACCGACGACAGTAGAATGGTGGATTGAGGAATTCAAGCTTTTTCATCAAATGGTTAATAGCTTTTTGAATGGCATAAAAAACTAGGCGTACTGTCATTCATTGCTTTCCTGAATTCATTTAAAGAATATTTTGAGCTTCCGTTTGATGGTATTTGGATCGATATGAATGAGCCTGCTGCTTTTGGTACTAACGAATATCATCCATTTTATTTTGATGATCCAGAAAGACCAGCAAAGATAATACCGCTTAAGTGTCCTATCAGCGGTGCGGTATCGAAATATGATAATCCACCTTATGAAACTTGGAACTCTTACGCCTACAATTATGCTGAAGCTGCACGTTTTTCACTTTTTTTTTGCAATTTTTGGTATTTCACAAACATAATGCTATCTTCGAGAATTTTCAGATTACGATAATTAGCTTTGCAATTCACCAAAATTTATGAAATGTCTGCCTGAAATTCACAGACTTAGAGATCGTTGCCATTTCAGCATTTATCAAATAAAACTGTGTGTATGTCTGGGATGACAAATAGAGGGACTCAGAGAGTTTACAATACGAAAAATTTGTATGGATTAGCAGAAACAATAGCAACTCAAAAGGCGCAGCATGCAGCAACAGGAAAGAGAGGAGCAGTTATATCCAGGTTTTTTCCAGTCTTTCACTGGAATTTGAGGGTTAATTTTAAGTGCTGCACAGTCAAGTATTTAGAACATCAAAGAAAAAGGATAAAGAGATGAGGAACTATTTTAACCCGACTTTTGAGCCACCTTTAACTGCAAATAATCGATTTTACGAACCAATAATTTATGATTTAAGAAGGTGAGCTCATATAATAACGGAAAATTTTGCAAGTATTTAATGATGATGAATAATCGAAATCGGGTAGCCCATTGATTAAATATATGAAAATATGTCAAACTGGGGGTTGTTACATGTTGAGTTAATGAAATCCTGACTTTGAAGTAAATATCGACATTTGACTATAACAAAGTGAAGCAGCCGGCTAATTATCTTGGATAATGAGTTCATCTATTAGATCCACATTTGTTTCATCGGGGCATTATGGTGGCCATTGGCTCGGTGACAATAGTGCTCGCTGGATAGACTTGAGAGCTTCCATTATTGGTATCCAAGAATTTAATTTATTTGGTATACCATACATTGGCGCAGATATTTGTGGTTTCAATGGAGAAACAAGCGAGGAATTATGTTTGAGATGGCAACAACTAGGTGCATTTTATCCCTTTTCAAGGTAAAGGTTTAATAACTTTTAAAAACCAAGGAACAATACTTAAAAAATGAATTAAAGTTGGCATTGTTCAGAAATCACAATGAAAAAGGTGGAGCAAGTCAAGAACCATCTCGATGGCCAGATGTTTCAAGAGCCACTAGAGAAGCTAATCTTTTCCGATATTATTATCTCCCATTTCTTTACAGGTCTTTTTTTGCTTTCACCATTTTATTAATGCTTACTCTATACTTTGTTATTTTAATGCGATTCATTCTTCAGCTTACTGTTTGATGTGGCATTGCATGGTGGCACCGTTGTTCGACCAATTTTTTTTGAATTTACCTCTGATCCTGAAACCCATGATCTCGGAGAACAATTTATGTGGGGAAGTGCAATGATGATCGTCCCTGTATATCAAGAAGTAATAATCACTCAAATCAGCCTGGTTCTAATGATCACTCAAATCAGAGCAATAAACTTAAATTTGAACAATTTTACAGGGTGCTACATCTGTATCTGGTTATTTGCCGTCGACAATATGGTACTCTCTTCGAGAATTTGACTATGGCATACTAGCAAAACCAGGCCGCAGTGAATTCAGAGCACCGAAAGATGAGCTCATTCCTGTTTTTGTTAAAGGTGTGACTCGAAAATACGGAATCGTTTTTTATCACAAATTACATATTCTGAAGATAACTTATCCAGTGCTAAACTTTCATTACCTTTAATCTAAAGTTGCTTCAAATACTTCTGCTTGCTCCCTTTCTTTTCTATCAGAACAATTACAATTACAAAAACTTATGAAGCATTTCTATCTTCTTTCTTCATTACTTATACTTTTCCTCTCGAGAAGAAAAAAAATTAAATTTGTGGAAAATAGTAGCCTTCAGTATAAGACGAGTGAATAAACATTCTTTTTTAATTCAGGAGGTGTCGTGATACCGCGACAACAACCAAATATGACAACCACCGTTTCAAGAAACAATCCTTTTGAATTGCTTATCACAGTTGGTATGAAATTTTAATGTCACTAAATCTTGCTTCTAAAATACATACGGCAGGTCCAAAATCCTATGACTTAGCAGAGCAGATCCATTGAGAGAATTTAACAGCTTATTATTTTTAATGACCGCTTACTGGATCCTTAAATGTTTTCAACAGAACAACGCTTTAAAACATTGAAAATGAAAGGGAGATAGCTGTATCTTCACTGTAACACCAACAAGGATTAATTGTTTGTATATTAAAGTTTAGAGGGATGAAGTGAAATGAAGCTATTTAAGCTATAATTGTTCTTGTATGGTGGAAGGAAGTTATATTTCAGGTTCGAGTAAGTCAACTGGTATGCTATATTGGGATGATGGTGAAAGTATTGTGGAAGATTTTACATCATACAATTATTTCTACTGGTTATTCGAATTTGTACTCAGTGCTGACAGGGCTACTTTATATATCACTCCAAACCATACTGCTGTTAGCACTTTTCGGCTTTTTGAAGTTTGAAGGGATGTGATACAGCGTAAACTATAAAACAGATAACTTCACCATCAACATGATGGCGTAATAATTCCTAACAGCATTTGCAGAAATCCAATTATAGATAGGATTGGTAGTACCCACGTTAGATGTTGTGGATGTTATCGGTTACCGTTATCAACCAAATTTGAGTGAGGTATGGCTCAACGGTATTCCAGTCAAAATCGACCTTCAACAGTCGCATTACGACAGTTCAAAAAATCGTTTACTGATTGTGAAGAAGAATTTGGTGAAAATCGCTAATGGAAAAAAGCAGATATTATCCTGGTCTCATCAAAAAGCATTTTGTGACAATGTTCAGTGCTGATCATTTCATTTGTGCATTATAAGATAGACTTACAATTCAAAATCCTTATAACCTTTTGAAAATTAACACCACCGATGTTAACTAGTACAATTCGATTATTGTCATTAATATAAAATGATGTGATGCGACCGCTATGCCATCTTTTATAGTGGATTTAAGTTTGCGCAACAGACAATATTCTGGCCACTACCACATCTCCATCGCGGGTTGACACTGCATTGATGTTGTAATGTCAACCGCTACGTTTAGTGGCATGAGTAAGAGGAAGGGGCGGGAGAAGCTACAAGTGTCCAAGGGAATAATAAACAAAGAGGAAATGCCTAATTCAAATACATGTTGCAAGAAAGGTAGGGAAGTAAAGCTGTTGAGTAGGTAAGCAGTGACTGAAGGTATAGCCAGTAAGAAAATACATAATGCCTTCCTGCTCGCAAAAAAGCATGAAATGGGCATCAGTCAAAGGAAAAGCTTTGTGATGAACATAGATTACGTACCCAATTCCGAAGTTCCGTTGCAATGTATTTGACGATCGGGGAAAGATATGCATTTTGCAAGTGTAATCATAAGTTCAGCTACGTTTATAGAAAACTATAGATCTAGGTAAGTAGAAGAGAGCATGTTTTATATAAAATTTAGGTAGAGTCATGCTGTTCATCGTGCGACATTAGCAAAACCGGAACTTCTTGAAGACTATGAAACGACTTCCAGTTTGGCTACCTGTCAACCTTATTAGGTGTGGTAGCTCAACTTGACCTTTACAACTACTCTATGACCAATATGAGATCATCGTTTTCATAGCTATCATGGCAGTGGTATGCTTCAACCCTCCTTGTTCGGAACTTTAGAAGACTCGGTACTGCGCAAAAAGACTTGCAAGTTTGGACGGATGGATAAATCTGAGGAGGAAATGTGAGGATATGTTCATCAACCGGTTCATGATTCACAGATATTCTTACAGGAGGTGAACATTTACACTGTTCACATTATTAAGACTTGGAAGTTCCTGATAAATTTGACTTTTGGAAGTGCTTTTGTCCTTGAGGAACATTGTTGGAGTGGAGCGTGATACCAGTAACCATCACGTATCACGTTATGTCGATCACAGATGTTGTGGAGACAGATCACCATGTTGCTGAGATCGTACCATCTATGGAGGACAGCAGTGCGAGAGTCATTGAAGATCGGCCACAGGAGGAGGTAAGTCAACCATCTGGAATAGCTTTGGATGGTATGACATTAAATTGCAAGAACGAACATTTCTTCTCTTTAGGGATCGGATGAGAAACAACAAAGTCAGAGTTGGATATCTACAAACAAGCCTACTTTGTTAAGTCAAGGTTTGTTTGCCTTTTCTGGTGAAACTAATGTTGATTTTTTTTTTTTTTTTTTCAGTAATCTTTTGTAGCATTTAATATTAATAGCTTTGAATTTCATTTCAGGTATTGCAACAGAAGCAACGTGTTCACTTGAAGCCTCAGAGGATTATGCCTTGCACTACCTTACACGATCTGTTGTAAAGATGATGGATAATATTGGTTTTTCAACATGTCACGAATCTGTTCTAAACATCCTAACCGATGTTTGTAGACGGTACATGGAGAAACTTTGGGTTGATTCAAAATTATTCGCAGAACACGGTGACTTCATGAATATAATATATCGTAATCACACTTAGTAAATGAATTGTTGTCGTTTATTTGAACTGAAAATATGTTTTTTTTTCTTTTTAGCTGGTAGACGATTTCCAATCTTTGAAGATGCAAATATGGTTTTTGGAAAACTGATGTTCAGTGCAGCAGAATTGCACTCATTCATGAAGCAGGTCCAATGTGATCCTTTTGAAAACAACGTAAGTTCATTTTCGAATTGCTGTTTTTCTTCATCTTATTTTATGTTGAATAGTTGCTCACAGTTTTTTCATTTTAAGGTGCCGCTTTTCCCAGTTAGAAAATCTTCGCTAAACCTGCTCAGTATGTATGGACCAGTATCAGATAAAGAATTGGCAGAACGACCAGAACATATACCTCGTTATTTTCCTGCTATGCATCGAGAATGGTGCTCCAGTCATATGGGAGGTGACAGTTTGCTTTTTGAGGTAACTTCACGCATTGATGGTTTGTTAATTTGTATATTATTTTACAGTTCGGGCAGTCGAAGTTTCAGCAGTAAAAGGTGCAACACGCAGGTCAGCGCAAAATTGCAGATCTACATCAAGGTGAGCGAAATCTTTGGTTTAAATTTATTCGTTCTTGAACTTTAGAAAATTGGTATTAAGTTCCTTTTTTTCCCTTAATAGTAAAAAACCATATTTCTTCTTTAGTAGGTTTTCTGCATGCGAAATTTTTATTTGAATCGTTTATGAATGTACAAAAGATGAAGCGTAAATATTAAACTCTTACTCATTTTACGTTTATTTTTATTTGTATTATGAGATAAAAGGTTTTTTTTTTTTTTATTGTAAGATGTCATTTTTCAGGGGAAGGGTCGCAAAAGCGAAGATCTCTTTCCCTGACTTTAGTGGGTCGACAGCTAAAGAATTGGGATTTGTGCGCCCTCAAAAACTGCCATCCAAAAAAGTGGTTGAAGAACCAAGTGGTATTTCAAGTAGTGCCAATATCGCAGCTTTGCAGAAGTTGGATAGCTGTTCTAATAGAACAAAGTCTAGAAACTGGTCGCTTCATGAAGTGAGATATATTTAACGATACTTTTTTCGGAATATAAATGTTATGAGCAGCTTTATCCACTTATTTATCTATATTGCAGCCTACCAGTAGTTCAGATCATTGCGATGAGCATCATGTGAAAGCGGAAAGTGTTAAAGAGAAGGATGTTCCAGATAAACCTTTCGCACAAGTAACACTGGTTCTCGTGTCTAGCGTTATTTTCTGTTATCTTTGAATTTGTTGTACATTTTGCAGGCAGAAAATTTGTAACTTTTTCTTGTATTATCCTTAAGAATAATTAAATTATTAGTTGGTGATGATTGCAGAGATCGATTGGTATGTTTGGCATGCCACCATCAACCTTGGTACACCCAGAGAGTGTTGTGAATGAAAAGACGAAAAAGAAAAAGAAGAGAGATAGAGATCGAGATAAAGACCGAACTAAGGAGAAGAAAGTAAAGCTTCGTGACAAAGAAAAGGTTAAAGACAAAAGTGTTTATCGTATTTTCGTTTGTGTTGTTAGTTATATGTTCATGTATACGGGTTTTCTTTTATCATAACCATTATACATAAGGAATTTTCCAGGAGGAAAATCCAAGTACAAGTAGATCAATTCCGGTTTCGATTAAATCTCATGTAAATGAAAAAGCAAGTGCGAGTGCAAATTGTTCAATTGACGCTGAAAATGATGGTCAAGGCATGTAATTGTTTTTTTTTTTTTATTTTGGCCTTTTTTTTTCACTGTTTAATAATTGCTACGGAACTTTTGCTGGATGAGTTCAAAGTTAATTGGTTTAAAGGGGGCGATATGCTCCTCGTACAAATTTCTACTGCACTTGAGGAATCAGCTGTATAGCTTTATGTAACGAGGCATTAGAGCTGTGGAATATGAACATTTGGACCGGCTGATTTCATCATAAAAGTTTAATCAGACTACGGATTGTGTATTTCCCGAAATCTGTCTAAAATAATATCAGTCATTGTTAGAATTGCTATGTTTTTACATTGTTATTTACTCTGACAATTCTTATGATTAACATACAATAACTTAGATTACAAATATGGATTAGTCTTGATTGGCAAAAATACTTTAATTGCCAAAAATTCACTGGTCTTTTCTTTGGACTGTGCAATTTATTTCAGCGAAAAAATCAGGGAATAAACGACCGGATGTTCCTTTATCATTGCAAAAACGACCAAGTTCCTCTGAACAGTAAGTATCGTTCCTATGAGTTGATTCGATAGTTTGAAGATGAAAGTTGCTGTTTTTTTTGTGAAACATTTTAAAAAAGTTTTCTATATTAAAGTGATCTACTTATTTTATTTGATATATTTTAGCCGTCAAATAGAGCGAGATGAGATTGATTTAAAGTATGTTGCGAATGAGAAACCTATTATAGACCTTTATTTTTCTGACACTCTTCCCGAAAGTGATGAAAAAGGCGTAACAGTTTGCGAAAAGGTTATACAATGTTTTTCGACATTATGTTTTCAAATTTTTTCTTTTTTGATATCAGACACAGTTTAGGTGAAAGCCTATAAAATTCCAATATAAATCTTTTTTATGAGCATTAATTTAGGGTCCCAATGTTTTTATTTTTTTAATTTAGAATTTCTAGATGGTTTTGTTTGCTATAAAGTGACAGCATTGCATATTAGTAGAATAAAAAAAATAAAAAAAGTAGAATTGTATATTTAGTAGAAACAAAATCCATTTTTGCCATCGCTTCTTGAGCTAAATTTTTGTCTGATGTAAGATGATTCCCCAGTCACAGTAATCACAGAATTCATGTTATTTCTTCAACTTCAACTATTACAGCTGAAAAAGGAAGTTAACATTTTTCAGGTGGACAATAATGATAAACTTAAACATGACCAACCAGTGAACATAGGAATAAATAACGGTCACACTCCTAGTGGTGTTGATTTACAAATGACTGAAGTATTGATACCGCAACAGTTCGCAAATAGGTATGTACAGCGTATGCCGATTAAATGGTTCGTGTTTTATTTACTGGATGATCAGTCATTCTTCATAGTTATTAGACAATGAGTATTCGTGACTTCTGTGAGCTTTGCTTGCCATTATCAATAATATAGTGCATCCCAACGGCTTATATCAACAAATTTGCATATAATTGCACTTTTCTTTATTACTGTTGCTGTCTCGAAACTTAAGCGGTTGCTCCGGTTTCTCACTATTTTTTCTGGAAAATTTTCAATGGATCGTTTTGTAAATCGTTTAATTTTGAAGTTAGTTTGCTTTAAGCCATATTTTCTCATTCTCCCTCACTAGTTATGTCTTTTTCTGTTTTTTTTTTTTTTGGTTTTTATTACAACTCTGGGAAAGTGTTATGTTTAAATTTCACGGACCTATGCATGGCTTATAAGGAACGCATTATAATAGTTAAATTTGTAGAACTGGTAATGTAGAGGACGATGATACTAATGGCGACAGTAAAGCTATAGAAAAAGTGAAGGAAGAAGGATTGAAGGATGAAGCTAAGAAAAATGATAAAAGAGGTACGAGTAAAAATACGCTAGATGAAATTGCTAAAGGGAAGATAGAGAAGTGCAAAGTTGAAGAGAAAGATAGTGAATGGAAAAAAGTTACGAAAAAGACAGCAATAGAGAACTCCTTATCTGTGATTTTCGGTGGCATGGCGAAAAGCTCAGCAGCTGATAATACTCCTCTGTCTCGTAAGTCATCTTTTTTTATGTTTGTCTTTCATCAATATAACTTGTAGAAAATTTATATCAGGAATTTATGCATACTGTGTTTTCTTTAGTCTTTACTTTTCATTAATACTTGTAGCGTTAATATTTGATTTCTCTAAAGTTATTTGGTATGACAATTCATGTCATATTCTGTTGTGGACTAAAACGCATTTAGGATAGGTGGTATCAGCCTTCTGAAAATGATTTAGAATCCATATTTTCACTCATTATTCCTTAGCTAATTAAGATATATATGAAACGAATCAATTTGCCTCATCTTCCAACAAATAAGTAGTAATGCTTTTATATCGTCTTCGAACTTTTTGAATATTTCATCGTTCTTTCTTATTTTATTGGGCTGTGCATTCCACTGCATATACTCGGACATGACACTAATTTCTATGATTATATCAAGTAAGCGAGATGCAGTATTGATTACAATTAATTTAAGGGCTGCTTTTTCTTGTTATTTCTTTTCAGAAGATCTCAAGGCACTTAAGGTGGTTTTATCGAGGACAACTGGACAGAAACTATTCACTGCATTATCACCTTCCAGTATGAACTTAACTCTTGTTCTCAGACATCTTTTTTGTTTGATCTCACTTTACCACGCATCTTTGTTTTGTATTTTAGGTGACACGGGACGGGTCGCCAAAGATGCAGAGCAGAAATATGGCCCAGGAAAAGTTGCAGTTGATAAATCACTGATTGCTGAAAGTATATGTGAGAAAAAGAAAAAGCATAGGAAGGTAATTTTACATTGACAGTGGAGTAGTATTGTGGTTGATGACTACCGAATTACTGTTAATTACTGTTAACTGATTGATTTAAAGGAGAAAGATCGAGACAAACATCACAATAAGGAGCACAAACGCAAAGATAAAAAGAAGTGCAAAGAACATAAGAAAGACAGGACGAAAGACAAAGAGAAGAAATATATTAAACTAAGGCCTGAAAGGCTCTGTTTAAAGCGACCTGGCGAGCAAATCCGTAAGTCTTGCAAAATATTTTTGCATTTTCCCATGTCCACAGTGTGCAAATCAGTTATTCCACACATGTCAGCTTTGTAATTCTTCACATTTTTCAAATAATAAAAGTGCATTGGTTTATGTCCTTTTATTGCTTTAGCTTAAGATTTATCATTTTTCGTAAATTACTCACTGAACAAAATGTCTTGTCAATTATTCAAACAATGTATTACAGTGCCAGATGAAATGCCTGCCCCGAAAATACCTAAGTTAAAAATCCGATTTGGATTTAATTCAAGTGGCATTACTGGTTCGCCAACAAGCATTGTCTCTGCAACTTCGCCGACACTTCTGACTTCTGCTTTGTCGTCTACCCAACTGCAAGTTTTTCCATAAAAAATTATGCCGTGTATTTTCTTCAACTTTTTTGTTTTCTCAATTGCTACTTTTTATTAATATTTTCAGATCAGAGAGAAATATTCCCTCATTAGACGATCAAAACATTCAAGTTATGCATCCTGCAATCAAGCTAGAAGGTGCAGAGGCTACCAGTCTGTATACATCTCTCAGACCTGATGGAAATATTAGGCCTAGAAAACGGCAGCCAGTGACCAAAGCCGAGGTTACTTTTTTTTAAATGAGTTTCCGTCGTAACATTTTCGTTTCTTTTCCCCTTAATGGTTCGTCGTCATGTGTCGTTTGTTTATTCATCTCCATAGCTCAAATTGAATAGCTTGACCGTGAACCTGGTATGAATCAGTTTAGAATGTAGTATGAGTTGATTAGTTTTGCATCCATTCTCTCTACAGCAAGAAATTTGTGGTCTAGATATTTATCTCGATCGTTTAAAAAGGTAATATTCATAAACTAAAAGTACGAAGTAAATCATATAGATTGATATGATCTGATAAATTTTTAATCTGATAACGTCGACTTATTAAACGATTTATTATTAAACTTATGCCAGGAGAGTTGAATTAAGAAAAAGAGTGAAAATTTATTTTCATTGGTAGATTTATATTTGATCCGTAAAGGCATACATTCATGTAATAAGTCGTACTTCGACGGACAAAACACATGTAGAGGTTGATTGTTCTTTCAACCATTGCACTTATTTATTAAATAAAAGAAACAGGATGTGGATCACGGGGGTAGTAGTGCCAAAAATAACGTAATGGCTGCTGATCCTTTACTTACTAAAACTGTATCAGAAATTCCACTTAAAATACGATTTAAAAGAAACAGTTGTATTCAAAGAGTGATATCTCAAAGAGACTGACTGGTTTAGTCACTGACAGTGAAATTTTCAGTTGAAAGCGCTGCCGAAATTACCGTTGAAAACAAGGACGTGTGGAACTAAAGAGTAAGTTATGTGAGGATGCAGTTACATTTTTAAATTTGTATAGGTGGACACGTTATATTTTATACGCTTTGCTATTTTGTTGCTTCCACAACTTTCTTAATAGTGTTCTTGTCGTCCCCTCGTTTTATTCTTACTCTTCGGTTCTTTTTCGTTTTCTCATAATCTCAAGAATTTTGAAACCATTTTCTGGTTTCGCGTATACATTTCATTTCTTCCTAGTTAATAAATTGTCACGTTTTATACAGATAATTTTGTTACCTGTACTTGTTGATTTCCTTTACCTTTTTCCTAAATGAAGGAATGCAAATTACACTATCATACTTCGAGTGTTTTTATAAACTTTAAATGCTTAATTTTTTTTTTTTTATAAACTTTAAATGTAAAATTAGAAATTCAGAATCATTTGTATAGCTAGGTTATAGGGCTTCAACTTGTTTAAAGAGCTTTGTTCGTTTTTTTGCAGCACAATTTTTTTTTGAATGTGACATTCAGCGTCAATGAAGAACATGCTTCAGGTAAATGTAGGTTGGGGATGTGGCAAATGCACCCTTATTACCCCGTTATTGTTATATTTAGGACAATTTATACTTTGTTGCAATGTTGCAATCAGTTCTGTGTGTTCATTGACAACAGCCAGCACTTCAACAACTAGTATCCTATCATTAGCACTTTGCCTAGTTCCTTTTATTATTCACTGAGTAATATTTACTGTATTCACCATGTTCCAAACATATTCATAAAGGAAATGAAATGCGGAGAGTGGGAAAAGGGATGATATTCCCAACAGTCATAGTTTGAGTTTAGTTGTTGCCATGTTTTGTCTGAATTAAGATGTACGCGTTACTATTAAGTGCTCTCTGATTGCTGGGAAGTGATGGTGTCTCTCGCTTCTTTTAACAACCGCTACAACGCAGTACTATATCAACGAATGAAAAGCCTGGTGCTCGCTACCCAGCACGCCAAGAGGACTTAAAATAACGCATTGGTGCTTCGTGTCATGTTACAATTTCGTACTGAATGTTCGGAAATAAAGTTTTATCCTTTACTTCCTACCGTGCTCTACTTGAAAATCGGTCATTATCTTAAAGTCTTCCGTGGTACGCGGAAATCAAACATTGTTTTCCTATCATTTTGCATTGTCTTATATCTGGCGTACTGTTGCCTATCTTAATTGTATTGTCGCTTTCCCGGATTGTTTTCGGAAATTGCGAAGTCATGTTTTTTTTTTTTCTTTTTTTTTTTGAAAAATGTTAAGATCAGCTTTCCAGTTACTTATCAGGTTTTTATATTGGCTTCAATAAATTTAGTATTGTACAAATAATCTCTTAGTAATCCAATACCAACATGGGAATTCAGACCACTGGATCTCCTATGCGGTTTTAAGCAACTCATGTATCTAAAATCCCCATCCCACGTGCCTCTCACTAATTTAAGCATTTGGCATGTAAAGTTGGACTTGGGACACCTTTTTCTGTGGATTCCAAACAGGTTGCTCTGATTTCGTGTTTGGTGAGAGTAAAGGTGAATATTTCAGGGGAAGTGGATTCACAGGTGGACAAGGAACAGCAGAAATAGCCGCTAGTTCAATTATTTCTAGAGAAGATGTTGGGTTTGAACAAAGAAATTACGTACAACAACCAACCGGTAAGCGTTTGCGTATAGACGATAGCTGCTTCGATACGTATGGCGCTGGTGCTTTCAGTTCAGCTGAAAAAGTTTGCAAATCTACGGAGAAAGAAAGAAACAGTGAAAGTTGTATCCAAGGTATGACACCGAAAGGTTGGGGACAGTTGCCATCCGCCACTACTTTCAGTACATTTTTGATGGATGATCGACGTCAAGAAAAGGAATCCTTGAAGAAAGAGTTGGAAGAGGTATTAAAAAAGAAGCCGGACCAAATGTACTTGGAAGAAATATTAAAAAAGAAACCGGATCAGGTACATACTGGAGCTGAGCTAGACTCAGCGAAACCAAGATTGGGGAAGGAAAAGGATCCTCTTAAGCGTGTATGCGATGGTGACTTACTACTTGAGAAAGAAAAGATGTTTGTCAAAGATCGTTGTTCGGGGAAGCTGAAGAATAAAGAGCCGGAGAAAGAGAAGAAAAGTGAGAGACATTACAATCTTGAGAAGGTGAAGGAGAATGGGCGAGAGAAGGGGCAATGCCATGTACAAAAAGCTCTTGAAAAGGGAAGAGAACAAGGCAAGCGCGACGAGAAAGTTCTGGGAATGGTAGATGATGAGAAGAAAGAAGCACAGCAAGATCGACAGAAAGAGAAGGGGAATGATGGGGAGAAAAAGAAAGGCAGTGGTGAAAACGATAAAGGGAAAGTTAAGAAGATAGGGATGGTTGGGGCAAAGTTGGGAGATGTTTCGTGTCGTATTATTACGAGTGAGAAGAAACATCGGGAAAAACTGGGGAAAGCTTCTGGATCTGTAGAGCGGTGTAAGCGGAAGAGTATCGATAAGGATGAGGGACGTGGGAAAGGTGATGAGAAGGACGTGAAGAAATATATGGAGGGTTGGGGGTGCTCGACCGAGACAAAGGAGAGAGGGAAACATCGCAACGAAAGAACTGTTGTAGAGGAGAGGCTTAAAAGTCGTGATCAGGAAGTCAAGGATAAGGAGAAACGAAAAAAGCATTTGACTAATCGAGGCAGAGAGTATAGCATTGGGAAAATCAGTAAAGGGATCGAGAAGGTTTCTTCTGGTGAGAACGACAATTTTGATATTTTGCGTAATGTGGAAACGAGCAGTTTCAGCAATGTTAAGACGAAGGATTCCGGTAAGGATGAACTTATGGGTGATTCAAACGATTCCGATCTTCCATTCGATCCTCTGCAAAAAACTGAGCGAGGTAACAGTATTTCATTAACTATGCCTGGTCTGCTTTAATCAGCTTCATCTAGGTAATATTGGTAGAGAAATTCTATATGAGAACTTTCAATTCATTACAGTGTACTTACATTTTCTATAATCCATCAAAGCAGTTCTGTTGCTGAGTAATGAAAACACTGGGTTTGTAAGAGCTGTATGTATTATTCTAAAAGTTCATAATTTTTGTTAGATATAAAGTCTTAACAGACGTTATATAGTTGTTAGTCGTCATAGGTGTGATAGATTTACAACATGTGGAAAGAGAAGATTAGGAATTGGAAAGTGGTGGAACAGAAGATCGGTGCTCTTCCACAGTTTATGAAATCTTTTGGTACTTATTATGAACTTCTTTGGAGGAGGTCATGTACGTGAGGTATTTATGTAAATTTTACGCCGCTATCCTTTAATAGGTATAGTTTGGGAGATTAGTTCATATTCCGGAAAATTGTAGCTCATTGTATTTCTAGTATTGGCAAAAGAACAGCTGTCAAAGTGGTGCAGTGCTGATAGTGATATCTTTGGGAGTAGGTCGTCGACTGCTGATTCGCTAACGAAATCTTCGGATAAGGTAATATATCCAAAAGATTTGGAAATTCATAAGTTTCAGCAGTAATTATGAAACATATCACTTGTTGTTTCCATCCGTTTTTTAATTAGGATGCAAAGGATGTAATAGAAAAGGGTGTGAACCTTAATTTGTTTTATAGTAATACTAAAGTAAACATGAGCTTCCAATTCCTTAAAAATCTCAGACGGGTATGCGGCGAGTTTACTTTAAACTGATGCAATATAAAGGCCGAGAGTGGAACTAAACTTGATTATTGCTAGGGAATGACTATACCACTTGCAATCGTTTGAATTCAGTTTTTTTGTTTATTTGAGAAATCAATCACCTTGGACAGTGATGATTCTTTGGATAATATGTGGATTTGTCCAGAGTGTTCCGTGGCATATGTTGAAGGTGCAACTGATATGGTTGGTTGTGATGCTTGTGATAACTGGTTCCACTGGTAAGTTCTTTTTTCAATATATGTCGTGCTACTGTTGGCTACTGTGCATTAATCTACCGAAATATCTGTAATAATTTAGGAGTTGTGTGGGTTTATTAGTGGCACCGCCAGATGATGCTCCTTGGTATTGTCAAAACTGCGCGAGAAAGAAGCTTAAAAAAAAAATCGTGTTGAAGAGCTCTACTTCAAAGAAAAGCAAAAAGTGATATGGTTGTGATAATAGATTAGTTTTTTTATACATTTTTATTCCTTTCTAGTTCTTGGAGGTCAGTAAATCTAAAAGCTGTTCTCGCTGTTATTCATTTAACTCTGTTAGGTACGGGTTCAGGTGAATCGGGTTATTATTGAGGAATTTGTGCTTCCAGCACATGTTCATGTTCCAAATGTATCCGTCCTTCTGAGGAGCACTTTCCATATACCGTTGTCTCTTCGTCTGTCTGTATTTCTAAACATGGTTATTATTATGAGCATTTCTATAAATCCTAAGTACTGCCATATGTAGAATAACTACAAAATAAAACCTTGTGAGCAGTTCGGTGGTAAGAAACTAAGCTTAACGTTAATCATTTATTCATTTCGCAGATACAGCGGTCTCATCAGTAGACCAAATTACCGACAATTATACTAATGATGCCATGTTAATGTAGAGCTGACCTCTTTATTTGTTATAAGTATTTTTAAGGTTGCAATTGTAAAACAGTTCTATTATTTGCTCAACGTATAGTAAGCACTCTTCTGTTACTTCTACGATGTTCGTCCTTTTGATATTTGGAAGCATTATATACAGTAAAGTTGCACCAGAAGAGGAGAGCAACATCATATTTTCATGTGAAGCTTCTCATTTTCATTCTTTTTAAAAAAAGGTGAAAGAGCTCATAAAGCGATTCGGATGTTTCTAGAAAAGTGTTCATTCTTATTTATTTGATGCTGTTGCTGCTGTTCATTTGTCTCCCCTCTTGGAGTCTTTCCATTTTTACCTTTTTAAGGGATACAAATATAAAATGTTTATTCAGGTGCTTATTGCTTGTTTGTTGTGGAATTTAAGTTGCGAGATACGCCGTCCGTATGTGTATAAGCGCATATATATATGGCTCAGGCTACTGATTTTGTAAAATTTTAGTTAATGGATAAGAGAACTGCAAAGACAGCTGCAGATTTCCCATTCAAATCACTGAAAGCTGTTAGCAAAGCAGTCAAATAATGTAAAAATTGGTGACCGGGGGTAATAGGTTAGTAGCGAAAATTTTGGGCTCATTTTGTTACTTCTACCATTTAGGTTTGGATCAGTAACTGGCTCGAACTTAACTCCACTTCTGCACTGTGCAAAAGACAGAAAATACATGGGAATAAGATAGGAGATTTTAAGGTTTTTTTTTCAAACTGTGGTATTCCTATTGCAAATTGGATGTCAAATAGCTGAAATGAAGTTCTCGAAAGTTCATTTACATCGGGTTCTTTTGGTCCTTTATCCTTTGCAGCTATGAATTACTACAAAAAATTTGTACTTGCCTGAGGTATTGCTACTTTTATATCTTGATTAAGCATTTGAGAAGTGAACAGTACCTAAAAAAGAGAGAATATATGGATAAGTGAGCTAAAATGTTCTTTATAGATGGTGACCTCCACACTTAATTCGCCATTTTCAATGCAGTCGTTTTTGTCAAATGGGTTTTCTGCTACACTTGTGCCCAAAAAGATTACGAATTTGAGGATTATGAGATTAAATAACAGTTTTGATTTTATATAATTGTAAGCAACATTTATTAATGAGTTTTACAATATTCATTAATGAGTAATGAGTTTAGATATATTGACATATATCGAAACAAAGAATATGTCAATATAAAATTACTGACAGCGATGAGGAGACATGGAGAGTCCTCAATGGTTTTTGTTTCGGCAATTTATATTCTACAAAAGAAATACATTATTCGATTTTGTATGGTCACAGTGTAAACAGTAAAAGCTGTATCCGTAGCAGTGTCGTTTGAACATATTTTGCCGTTGCTATTAAGTAAGAAATTTGGGATTGTCTTAGTTTGGCAAAAAAAAAATGAAACGATTAATTTCCTTTGTAGCTTATCATTTGGATACAAACATAAAAAACGTGCTAATGTGAGTGAAGTGTTTAGTTCAAAGTACGATATAGTGGCCAGTGAAAGGAGGGGACGAGATAGGGGATAATCGAAGTTTGTCATTTGTTCGTAACGGATGTCACATAGCGTCAGCATCGCTAAGGTAAACAAAATAGATGAACGAAGGCGGGCAATAGTAGTAAAACACTCAGTAGTTGTAGGTAATTACAAGGTCACTATCTGGTTTCCGCCCACCAGCCCTTTATTGAAGATTCAAAAATTCAGAAACATACGTGGCGAAGCATAACATTTCAGTCTCAAGGGAAAGGCAATGCTTCATTTTTTTTCTCTTCTCCTTCTGGTTTTATTGACTTCATCTGGTATTTCGAATATTATTGAAAAAGTTAGTCTGTTTCGTATTCTTAATTTATTTCACAATTCTGGTAAAAGTTACCAATGGATAAATAGTTCTACGCAACTCGGAATCAAGCGATGATTTTGATCAACTTGTTTTAGTAGTACGTAAGTGCAACAGAAACAATTGCTATGCATTAGCTTAGTTAAGAGAAGATAACTGGCCAATTCCAATTCAAAAATGAAAGTAGGATAAAGCAAAGTTATGGAAAGGTACTACATTCTTATAATTTAAACTGTTTGTCCGTATGTCATTTGTACAGTGCCAATTGCACAGTCATCCGTTGAATCAATGGATTATTTTCCCGATGAATTTTTTGTCGCAATGAAAAAAGCAAAACTTTGAGCAAAATTTGTGCATTATCGTTCAGTAATATTTCTTTAAACAATTGTCATTAAGACGATTTTTTTTTTCATAAAAGCTTCTCCAAACAAAAGTTTGCAGGAAAATGGATTACAGGAGAATTATATAAGAATTGAGATAATCATACAAAAATACAAAGCACTTGGAGCAACGGAAATAGATGAAGTCAAAAATGAACGATACGATTTCCGGTGAAAAGTACTTTCGTGACTCTATCTTGTCTGTCTACAGTAATGTTATTAAAACGAAATGCTGATACTGATCATTCCACACTTGTAATGTCTATGCAATTTCACGCAATTGAATTGAAAATTCTGAAAGGTAGAAAAGGCAATTCGGTCATCACTCCAACTAAGCACCTATTATGTTATCACTGATTTGTTTAGTTCTTTCTTCAGATCAACTTATAAAATGATTACTTAATGATGAAATCTGACCTCGAAGTCATTCAGGCAAAAAATTTGCGAACTTAGTGATAAAATTGCTCATTCCAGATTTTGCGCTTGCAACAATGAGACTTCCGAACCAGAAAGAAGTGGCGATTGTAGCTGTTCGACAGTTGTTAGCGGTCAGACAACTCAAAACTCAATACCGCAAGCACTGTACTCCTCTAGCTGCGTTCATAACCCTCACTATAACAAATGTTTAATCGCTCAGATCACAGCTAATACCACTCAGGCATTTATAAACCCTTCATTTCAATCAGTCACTTTCTATACCCAGTTTTTGAAGAATCACAATTTGTTTGCAGAATATGTTGTACATAGAAATTAGGATTGGCCCGTATCATTTGACAGATCCACCGTACCAGTCAATTACGAATTCCAAATTCAAAAACACCGCGCTGTTGTCATGCTCCAAGGACATCCGTTGTCAGGATTGCATCCCTTGCAAAAGCGGATTCATTCAGTAAATATAACAGCTTACTTTTGGTCATGCTTTCCTGCGGCCGAGTATCAGTAAAATCAATTCTGTTGTTGTACAAGCCTAGTATTTTAATATCTTTTAGGCTCAGTTATATCAGTTTGTCCAGTGCCCCACTAGCTGATTCAGAACAATCATATATGTCAGCTGCCGTACGATTCGACAAAACGGAAAAATGGCCGGATAAATCATTAAGAAAATTGTCTTTCACAGAAACAAACATGCAGAATTTTGATAGCGTAAGTATCAAACTGAAAAGTTTGTTTAAAAGTTAGATTTTTTTAAATTTGGATGCTGATGAATCCTGGCATTACTCTTTGAAAATTCTCTAAAGAACAGAATAAAAGAAATAATTAGGTGTTATCCAATTACGAAATTCTTTGCGGACAGAAATCTTTCTTGAACAGAAATGAACCTAAACAGAGTTGTTCTTAGAAACCCTTATAGAATTTTATCGATTGTTACATAACTGTTACTGGAGTTAAGGAAGATATCGTAAATCTTCACGACTTGATGTAATCATAATTTGTCAGTTACAATGGTTTTTAAATGCACAGCTCTCATCCGTAAAATTTCTGCTAGACAAATTGTCTCCTTGTGATGACGAAAGGGTTGTAACCATTCTCAAACCAGCTACATACTGATAACTACTTCGATTCTCGCCTAATTTATCATTCAACTCTTCTGCTTTTCAATATTTTGAACAACATGGTATAAAGTGATGACATAAAATGGCGGATCTTTAGAGTCTAACTAGGTTTCATGCTTAAAATATTCCGATCTCATGTTTAAAATTTTTCAAGAAATTTTCCGCCTTAAAAAAGGCATAATATTATCATAAAAGTTGAGAAAATAAACAAACTGGATAAGTAAGTACATATTACAAAAGATTTCTTTGTAAAAAAAAAATCACTGCGTTGAATTTCGATTTCCAAAAAACGAAAAAGAGGAAAGGAAGGAGCAGAAAGATCGTCAGGCCAAATTAGAAGGAAGCCATAATTATTCAGCTAAATCAAACAACACTTTATAATGTAGTATTTAGTACATTGTTTTAGCGGATTTTGATCAATGATGACAGGAGACTAAAACTTTAGTTTAAGAAAGCTGAAAAATTCCCTTTTGATCATCATCAATCTACAGCGTCATGTTCGTCACGTGTAATTAAACAAGTTTTGCACTTGCACTCTGTATATGGCCATTTAAATGAAAGGTGATGGATAATTGGCCATTCTTTACATCGTTACTAACCGAACCTTAATTTAGATTGCAAAGATTAAGGAACGCTTATTACAAAGCGCCAAAAAACATCATTTATCACCTGCTCAGTTCAATATTGCTATTTACAAGGATGCTGTAAGACTTTCTTATTTTTAACGGGAATTAAAAATAATAGCATTATTTGCTTCAAATATCTCGATGAAGGTTTTACCCAAACACCATTACTGTACGTCCACATCAATACTTATTTTTCAGCTTTTTCAAATTCCGTGATGCGCAAAAGGAATGATAGTAGTTCATGATGTTACGTCCTAGACTTTTACTAGAAGTAATAGGAGTGAATGTTGTAAAACGGCGGTAACGGTGGTGCATCGTTTTTTTTTTTTTTTTTTTTTTTCAAAAAAAAAGTCTGAAAATCAAGCAGTTTGCAAAGTGCATCATGGTAAATCGGAAATGACGCGTTTTAATTCAAAAGATGATTAGTACAAACAATCGCTGTATTATGGTATGGGCATATTACTACTTCTCCATTTCTATTCATACTTATGTCTGTGAATGTGTGTCTGTCTGCATCTGTACGTGTATGTATGCGTGCATGGGTGGTATGTAATGGTAATACGATTATAATAAAATACAGGAAATACCTGTGCATACCTGCCCTAAAAAACGCACTGAATTTATATGTCCCGGTGTTATTGTCCGTTTCATTCGCTAATTTTAAATTTGTACCGCAAAGAGTGGGTAAAGTCTGTTCAAATGTTATTAGAATAATGGATGCTTACTCTAACTTCCGTGGTTATTACCTAGAAGTGGATATTTCGATAAAATATTAGCTTAGTAAACATAAAGGAATAGTAATAATGATAATAGAAAAGCGAATTTTTAAAGATGTATGTATTATCCAGCACAAGACTTCCTTTTTAATTATCAGTTTTTAAAGTTCTCTTGCAAGTATAACCATCCCATTTTTTTTCTTCCGCTCCAATTGAATAGGCTTTTTTTCGTGGGGTAAGTCACAAGATTATTTTATTATTATCTTTGTAGATTCTAATTAAGTACTGTGAGATCCTAATTGACACACTTGTTTTCACTTCTTGCAGCTTGTTAGTGGACACAATGTTTATCGTAACAAACATGGTGTCGGTTTGCTTGAAACCAACAGTGAACTTGAACGGATAGCTGAAATGTGGGCAGAACGTTTAGCTAGCAAAGCGGATTGCTTGATACACGACCCATCAAAAAGGTTATTTGAACGCAGAACTTATCCTTGTCTCCTACTTGGAATAATACTATGGAACTCACTTCTGAAAATGTCAAAATAAAGTAAATGTTGAATATAATGTTGTTAGTAATTTTGACTATTAATAGGTTTGGAGAAAACTTATTCTACTACGCGACAAATTTATTGCCAGACGAAGAAACAATGGCACTAATGACTGTCCAGAGCTTCTATGTTGAAGCACATGGATATAATTATAAAACGTCAGTTATCAAAAAATTGTGCTTTGAGAAGAAAAAAAAACTGTCCAATCATCCAGTGCACTACTCTTTTTATAATACAACTAACTGCAAACTTGAATTCCTAGATTCGGCTTTTCGAAAAAGGCTCATTTAATCTTACATCTTTCCGGATTGGTTCATCTTGCTTGAATCTTCTAGGACATGCATGGTCTGTCAATTTAATTCCCGGACTAGCAATACTGCACGAATGATCCTTTCAGATTTATGTTACTATTGCTTATGGCTCATCATGAACCAAATCCAGGTGGTCCTCTGTAAAGGTATCTACAATGTAATGCCATAATGACGTGTTGTGGACATTTCAAATTTAAAGTATATACATATATAAATAGACAGATAGAGAGGAAGAGAGACTACAAACATGGAGTAATATGGTTGCTGCGTATAGTCGTCAACGCTAATGAAAGAGGTCCTTCCGAATCCGGTTTCCGAAAATAAAAATTGATATCAAAAGTAGCTGCATTTTTCAACATGATTTCCCACTCAGAATTTGCACCGGATATTACAACTAACCTTGGATACTGCGAAGATATCAAGCAACGTCTGTTGCAAAGAACTCAGCGCATTTGGTTAAATTTTTATTCTTTTGATTCTGTTTGCTGAAGTTATTTCAAGTCAGAAAAGTAAAGCAAGTTTAGCTTTTGTTAACCTGAACACGGTTTACTAAGAAAAAAGTTTCCAAAACGTTCAAGACATTCGATGTTGTAACGGAAGTGCTTGTACTTTCATCTGACAAATTGGAATATGCCATCTATAATTTGTACCGACGGTTATGTACAATGGTCAGGAGTGGAACTACTGGTGAGAAACTGTCGATTAACTAATATGTAATACTTAAAGGTCATATTAAAGAAAAGCAAACTTCATTTCTTCAATAAATTTGCATACATTTCTACAGTTATGAACGGTCCAGAAATCAAATTGACAGGCCTAGTATGTCCAGCTGTGCTTCGGTGCTGTTCAATCAGAGCTAGTCGCAATAAGCTGCTAATGCAAAAGTTATTGGAGAAAAAGATAAAATGATGGGGATAGAAGTTTCGCTTTTACAGTTTAGCTATGAACAATTTGCTCTTATTCCCTTTTTTGTTTCGTCGGAACTCCACAGCTAACAATTACTTCCAGGCATCATCACTTGGATTACCACCGCACTGGACACTTTACTCAACTTGTATGGAAGTCCACAACACAAGTGGGTGTTGGCGTAGCAATGCGAAACTTCAGTGGACGCCGTGTTAACAAATGTCAGCCTGATTTCCCGTCTACACTCATTTATGTTGTTGTTAAGTATGACCCACCCGGAAATGTACTTGATAAGAGAAATTATGACGACAATGTTTTGCCACCCATAGAGTAATATATACACTAGGAAACTGTAAATCCTCTGGTACTTTTCAGGATTTTAATTACGGTTATTCTTCATACGCAAAAAATTGAATAACAAAACAAATTTACCATTATGTAGCAAAAACACACCAAAAAATGTTGAGGTTAAAAGGGAAGAAAATATACTACATGTCCACATTATTAGCCTGATAAAACAAATTTGCATATCACAGTATAATTACTGGTAAGCCCGATCGGAAAAAAACCATTTCTTTACGAAAAATCAAAAATTTCTAGTAAAAGACCACAGCTGAATCACTTAATATTATTCTCGTTGTTTTAAAGATCATAAATCTGAACTTCCTGTGCAGAAGCTATTATTGATCTCATTAGTTTATCTAATAAAAACATTAATAGGAAACAATGTTAATTCACCAAGCTTACTTGATGCATTTTAGCAAAAACATTTCATAAAAAATCTGAAGCAAATTCATAGAGCGCAATTGTTGAAATATAAATGTCTCATCTAAATGGCAACAAAAATAGAATTCCATATATATATAATTATTTATTTATGGTTCGCTGAAAGATGATAGCATCACATTTAAGACAAGCCCTACTACATTATACAAATCCCACAGGAAAGTTTCCTTGTTCTGACCATGTGAATTTAAATTAAATCATCCTGGATTTGATAGAGTGAAGCTTCCAAATCCCTTCAGGCAAATATTTCAAGAACCGAAGAGTTATTTTTACTTTCTGAAGAAAGACACACGGTTTATGGATTGTTTTTCCCCGTGAAAAATATATGTCTTTACTAAGGTCACGGTAGATGTTAGCTAACTTAATCCTAACCACTAAATTTTATGGTTCGTTGATAGCAGGAATTTTAAGCTTTCATCCAAACTTCACTCGTGAAGAAAACAAGCCACTTCCTATCCGCACGTTCATTCCCGCACCTTCACCAAATCGTTTCACCTGGTGGTATTTTGCGGCTGACTAAGCTTTTCAGTGAAATGTTTTGCAGATGGAGGGATTTTTGTTAAGCAGATCTAAGATTTGCGGGTTTAGTGGATGTAGATGTTATCGGATATGATAATCGGACATTATACGGCGACTTGAAGACAGAAAAGGACTACTTAACTGACAGAATTTAAGACTGTTCTAGCTTATTGATCACAGAAAGAGATACCATTGACAATAATAAGTTTAATGAGATAACATCAATCGTTTTGATAACAGGAACTACCTTGGTAACGTGCACGATGGTTGGACTTAATTTTAGGTGTAAAGTTTTGTGGGATACAAATGAATTATAGTCTGGATTCAGTTCGTCGTGCAGACTATCATTTAAGACAAGATGATCGAGAATGAGTCAGTATTTATCTGTCCACAGTCTTTCCCATATCTTATTATTTGAATTAATTTATTATACCATCTTACAAAGAAGTCAAGCAATACGAATTGTCGGTACTTGGAGTTCACGCAGTAGCCGATTTTCCGTTCTTGCTAAATTTGGGTTCCAGCAGATCGATCCATTGGATGCGGAGCATAGTCGTGGATTTGTTTACGGCAATGTATCATCAAAGATAGTTAATGGTGGTAATCCTTTTTTTTACATTTGCCCCATTTTGAAAGATTAAAATTCTTTCCAGATATTGGGTTTGTTTTACTATTTGACTTCATTATAGCACAAGGAGTGCTGCTGATTATACCGAGATCACTTGTCAATGGATTTATTAATAAAGCAGCGCCCAAACAGTCATGTGACACTTTGCTAAAGGTATTTGATGGGAAAATTTTGATATTTCCATGAACTTTATTGAACCACATGATGCTTAAGCATTTTGGTTTGCAATAGATTTCACACTTTTCGCTGTTTACTGTACATCCACAAAATTTTAAAAAGGTTCATCGAAATGTTTCTCACAATAAATAGTCTTACCATTTATTTCGACACGATTATAACTTGTTAGGGCATGCATTTTGTTAATGAGCTTTACATTTTTGCTCAGAATTACAATTTCGAAAAAGATTAAATGAAAAAACTTCATCTCTTCTCTACTTTTTTCAGAATATCAGTTCACTTGCATTTGAAACGAAATGCTTTCCAAAAGGTAAAGGCGATCTAATGAGGTGGATCCCATGTCCAATAGGAAAACTCTGTGTTGAGGAAGATATGCTTGGGAAGGTTCCAGTTTGCTGTTATGTGCTATTTAACTTTCTAACTGTTTTTTTTTTATTTACGTGGCGTCCAGTATGTTGGCATTATTGTCCAAAACTTTGTTTTGCAAATATTTTGTTTTGTTCATTATAATTTTTTGAAGAATAATTTAGATATGAATTTAGCTAAAGGTAAACTAAAGTTGACATTATCATGGTGGGTAAGGTATATAGCAACTTAGTTAAGTATCTGATAAGTAGCTGACGTCATAGACATTGCTCTTTAGGTAATAAATGGTTCTCAATTGACTCTCAGGATTGAGGAACCATCAACTCCTCAATATTGGTATGTGATAATGGCTGCCTGTTATTTGGATTCTTACTGTTTGTGGAAACCTTCAGTTAAAGAGATTACTGTACGTTATGATTTATGGCTCACAAATGGAAGCCCTCTTATGCGTTATTTGAATCCATTCGGTCATCAATTCAGTTTCGAAGAGCAAGTATGTTTTGCAATTTTCTTGCTCAAAATGAATAAAATTATATCACGGTTTGAAATTTCATATGATTTCTAGTTTCTTTTCTTTTTCTCAATATCATTTTCCAATTTTTTTCTTGTTAATTTGGTCATTTACAGAATTCCGCTGAGATATATATGCTTTTGTTTATACTATATATAGTAGTTGGGTTTTGTCAATGGCGTTCTGTGATATTATGCAACTCTGCATCTATTTTCCCGCGCCATCAGCTTCTTAATTGTATTATTGTACTGAAAGCATTTGGTCTAGCTTTGCACTGCATAAATGTCATCGCATTCTCTTTTGATGGCCAGGTAAACTTCAGGTTCATTTAAATACAAGAATTACAAGAAAAAAATGTGATTTCTCAAACAACATTTCTAACTTTAAGGACCTAGTAATGTTTTATTTTCAGGGAGTTTTCTTTGCTCGTTTTGTTGGTGAAATTGCTCGTTTGATGTCGACGTGCCTTCTTTGCTTACTGCTCATATTGCTCAGCTGTGGTTGGTCATTCGGCAACAACAGTGAAATTTTACTACATGCAAAAGTTGTCGTTGTTTGGGGACTTCTTACGTCTACTCACTTCCTGCTTTTTTTGATCAATTTTGTACGTTTTTGTCTTATTTTCGTTTCTAAAACGTTTGGATGTTTTTCATTCTAGACTAATTTCCTTCGCACTCCCTGCATCTAAATTGCTCGGAGAGTGATGAGCAGAAGGAATATATCTAAATCGTGGCCTTCAATTACCTAAATTTCACTTTTTTTACAAATGTTATTTATTGAAAAATATGCAGTTTTTCGTTGACGATGTACTACAAGATATCGATATTTTTAAATCTTGGCCAGGCTACGCAATGATTGTCATTCGTTTGTTACAAGCGCTGTGGTTCTTGGTAGAAGTTCGCCGCTTGATAAATGAGTTAGTTCTTGTTTAATAGTTTCACCGTAGCGGTTACGAATACCAGTATGGTTTTCATTAATCTAAATTTCAGGGAGAGTGATGAGCGGAAGGCAATCTTCTTGGCTCATTTCGGTGCTGGTTTTCTTGTATGGTTTGTTTATATTATGGGCCTTGGAATTATTGCTTCTTTTGTCTCTGCTCTGTGGAGATTTAAAATGATCCTTGGTAAGCTGCTATTTGTTCTGCCTCTATTACCTAAGCTTCATTTTAATTTCTTTACAGTCATCAAGTCTTTGTAAACTACAATTACTTCAGTGTTGTTATCTCTATCTCTACTTTCAGTCATAACTACAGCGGCAAATTTTGCAGCAATCGCTTGCCTGGTACATTTGTTTTGGCCTACTAGTTCGAATCGACATTATTTTCTGGCTGATATCACGTAATCCTTTTCTTCAGCATTTTTCATATTTCATATCAAAATTCGTTAGATCTCAATAATAATAATAACAACTTGTGGAGCAAGAGTTAGTTATAATTGATGCATTTTTTAGCAACTTGAATCATATTTAGGTCACACAGGCGATTTGTTTTGGCCAATGATAATGAAGGCGAGGATTTTGAGAATCTGATGATTAGTGATAGTGCTGATACGGATAGTCTTGTAAGTGGCATATTGGAAAATATTTGAGTCCATTCCTAGGATGACGAATTGTTAACATTTAATTTTCTTGTTCACTGTCTTATTTTTGGCACTGTTGAGAGGTTTGAATATGTGTCTTGGGAGTACGGGATTATTTTGTTGACCTAGAACAAATTTACTGCAATACCTCTTTGCTCTATTATTGTCTTTATAATATTTGTCTTTGCTACTGGTACTCATGTTTTGATACGCTTTGTGGAGAAATTATTCCGTGGCTCTTTTTCACCAAAAGTAGATTATTTCATTAGGCTGCCTTCGCTAGTGGATTGGCGGGTAAAGGGCGGTACGGATTTGTTTAATTCCTTTTTTTGATAATTTTGTTTGTTTTGAAAATTTTGCCGTCATTTCTTGTGATATGTTTTCTTTCCCAACATATTTTTGGTCTTACATTTCATATGTTTTTCACTAAGTTAGTTACAGTAAACTCTGAATAACAAATTGCTAATTGATTAGCAATACAATTTTAAACATTATTATCATACGACAATATTACAACAAAGAATTTCGTGAAGTTAAATTATGAGGAGGATAGTTAATTATGTAGATTACCGGGTCATCAAAGAGATATGAATGAAATCAGTGGAATTATTTTAAAACAATGTCAATCGACAGTGAATTTTGTATCAATAAATGAGAAATATTCGTTTATTCATTATCGGTCTCGACAATGTTGAGCATTACGGCATTTCGTGCCCAGTAATACTATAGTTCTATGGGACAAATGGGAAGTAGTCAAGAATTACTTACATGAGAGGTCTGGGTTTTCAGTACTTAAAATCATGGGACAAACATTATTGTGAGTTTTAAACCACATTTATTTAATAAGGAATGAAACGGTCACGTTATGGATGACTGCAACTTTAGCTGTAAAATTGCTATTACAATGAGATGACATAACTACAAAAAGAATTATAATAAGAAACTACTAATCTCTCCATGCAAATCAAAGGAATTGGAGTAAAAAAACAGTTTAAAGCAGGAACAATAAGTAGATTTGAGACTTAAAGAATTAATGCCAAAATACTAAAATTGGCATAAATTTGGAGAGCGACCATTTCAATACTATACCAACCAAAAAAGGAAAGGTTAAATTACCAAATAGAATAATTAGCTAGACAAAAGTAGAGTTCGAGGAAACTACTAAACTAAAGAAGAATTAACGTGACTTACGATGCACCGGAAACCGTATCAACATTAAGATGAAATTTAAATTAATTGAATCTACTTTCCATCCATTATCTCTTAAGTACTTCAAATCTGAAATAGATTAAATCCCATTGAATTGATAGAAATCCTTCTGATGAAAGAAGGAGAACAAGAAATAACTATTGAGAGGGAATTCTTTACATTATACTTCCATACCATTTCTCTCTGCCTTTAGATGATTGATTCGGATCCGGCTGGATAGTAGTGAAAATTTCTTTTCGCTTTTGTTTTGTAATGAAACGAATTGTTCGGTGGTCTTCCCTTCATTCTTTCTTTGAATACACACAGATTAGTGATCAAAGAAATATTTATTATTTCGATGTTTACAGTACAGTTTTCGAGAATATTAAGACTTCAGTTGATTCAAAGGATGAATTTCTCTGCAGTTCCAGGAACTGCAGAGAAAAAACTTGATGTAAGCATTCAGAGTCGAGATAATAGAAAAAGTACTATTATGATTGTTGTCCTAAAAATTCTTATCTAACGAGATTATTTACAGTTGCAATTAAGTTTCATTATCAAATAGAATGATTTCTAAGATACCAGAAATCAAATTGGAGGATGTTTACAATGTTCTAAATAATATAGATTAGTGCCATAATTGGGTGGAAGAATCACAAAAGCATTAAAAATAAATGTAATTATAAGATATGAACAACTTATTACCTTATTACTTTAACAAGTTCGATTATACAAAAACATTTTGATCAATCCATCATATTTTGAGAATCATTTCGATCTTTCTATTTTCAACAGGATAGATTGAAATTGAAATTGTTAAATAACATTATCATTTGGCAGGTCTACTTCATTTTAAAGTTTGATAAAGTATCAATCTAATTTATTTCGAAAAGTACTGAATATTGTTTTAAATGCATCGCTGGAGGGATATTTTCGGGTTTCAAAACTCCCACCTCCCATTTCGCTTTTGTAATTTCGCATTCTGCTTCAAAAACTAAAGAAGATAAGGAAAGAAACAATTTGCTTGTAGCTTTAGTCAATCCATTTTTTACTTTTGGGATAGCAAGCTAAGACTTGAAGTCATTCGCAAGCTTCACTCAGTAAGCATTCTTCACATTCCAAATCATATGTGTAAGAAATTCCAGAAAAAAAAAAAGGGATACGGACGAAAATATTTCCTCTTATAAACAATAACTGAAGTAATAAGACTCAAAAAACTGTTTGGGATAGAACTACCAAGCGATTGAGTCAGAATCAGAACTATTTAATAAACCAATGCGTCAAACCGCCAGTCTACCTGCACGTCTAATGTAGATGTCATCCCGAATGAAAATCACGATCACTATTGCTCGAAAATTTATTGCTTAGTCTCACTGGTCTGACCTTGTCCTAGATTAAGAGTGAACTGGTGAAATATTAGAACAGGAAGCAATTAAGCATTTCTAAATGAGCGAAAAGAAAAGATAGGCGTCGGTCGATCTAGCCATTTCATTATCCCTGCATTATCTTTGCAACGAAAGTAGAAAATTACAACTTTTCAAGTGCTATTCAGCTTCATTCAAATTAATCACATTTGCAACTTGGTATTTGTATGTGACAAATATAGACTCAAGTATTTCCATTAGATCTGTGTAAGGTTCTCGGTGCTTTGACCTATCTCTTGGAAGACTATTTAATATATTAAGGCATGATTCTGGTATATTTAAAAGTATGGAACACTTTTATGCTGTTAACATTATTGAACTATCTACCATTTTGCATCGAAATTAAGACTTAGTTTTGTGGAAACAAAAACTTAAAGTTGTTAATATGTTTAATATCAATAAATGTCATATCTCAACCCATATTACAAAACATATATTGATGTTTTTTCCCAAAACAAAACTTTTTTGAAGGAAAAGATGTTGATAAATATTCTTATTCAAACAAACAAAAGTTAAATTAATAATCAGCAGTTAAATCACCAACGATTAGCATTGTCACAACAAATTGTTTGATATGAAATGGAATGTAACGCACACACATTTCACTAAATAGTAACACTTCTCTTCACTAATAAATAATAGCGCAGTTAGTGACAAATATAATCGGATTATTTATCTTCTCTTTCTGAATTCTAGAAGTTTTTCACTTACCGAGAGAATTTTATATTTTTATATCGTGAAAGCTTTTATTTGAAAGCTCATAACCAATAGGCATGAAATGAAATTACTAAGCCTGGTTAGCTATTTTTTTGGAAAAACAGTTTGTTTTATTGGAATAGAAAGCAAAAATTAACCTTACAATGTGTTAACTGGTAATTTAGTAATTTTTTTCTGAAACGCTTCAACACACTTTTCCTTTCTACCATTTATGTGAATATTGACTAAAAAACAACGGATGTCCACAGAACTGTGGCAAGCACTGGTTTTGGCTCCATGATACTGGATTTATAAGCGGACTGAATCCTATTATGTTGTTTGTCAATAGATTCATACTACCAGCTACCTGATTTGATATATTAATCTGAAAAGTGCTATCACTTGTTATGTGGTATTTCTTTATTGAAATGATATTGGCTGAAATGATATTTTAAATGACGACAAATTAAGAAATATATTCTGAATAATCTCATCATTAAAGATTGTTTTTTTTTAGTTGGTGTATGTCTAATGATATTTACGTCTTGTTCAATCTCTGCTTCTTCCGACACACCAGTTTACATTAATGGAGAACTTTGAAGAACAAGTGCAAAGTATCAAATCCTAAAAAGTCATCGATAAAATGTATATAGTTAGAAAAATTATTGTCAAAATGTAATTACATTATCCATAGTTGTTCGGCTCCAACTGCATCTTATTTTCTGACCGTTTATCACTTTTCCGTTCATTGACATGATAGCTCGAGCAGCAGCATCCTTATTCAAATATCGTACGAATGCATATCCCTGCTGTTTGAATAGTCGTACCTCGATCACAGTAGCAATTGCAGAAAACGACTGCATAAGTTCCTCATCTGCATTTATCCACAGATCACATAAGAGATTTTTATAACCTCCCAATTATCAAAACTGATATATGTGTAAACCTAAATCTTCCGACAGTATATTTTTTGACTAATGACACTCTTCTCCACATTATTGCACCTTAATGTTTGTATTTTGATCTATGACGTTCTATTAAAGTATTCATCTTTAAAAATAAATAGAAGAAACAGATTCCCTCTCTTATCCTTAATCTAGGTTTCCAGGGATTTAATATTTTTTTCATGGTGAAGTAAGTATTCCGGATTCTTCGTAAATCCATGATCGGTCACACAAGAGTTTGGAGATTTAGTAAAAAGTTCCCACAATCTTCCATAAAATTTCCGAAATGCGTATTATAAGATATACCAGTGAATTGGTGATTTTCAAAATTCAATTTTTGATCTCTTTTTGATCAAGTTATGACCGATAAGGGGCAAGTTTGAAATGAACGAGGAAAAATTAATAGATGAGAAATTTTTTTGCAAAATAGTGATTTATTTCAAAAATTTTCCTCTGTGTGATCATATAAATTGTAAATTTTTGAGTAGAGTGGGATTTCCTTGCCATTAATCATTAATTTCAATATTGCTACCAGACAATATGACGCATAAAACTTAGTCTAAACAATCTGTAACACATTGCAAGATATCCAGTGATGGAAAGTTTACCCGTAGTAATAGGTGAAATGCCTCCTACATAAACGGATGTATTAGCAGCATGGGTTGCATTGAATATATTGTCGTATGTAACATTTTCCTCGCCTCCATCAAATTTGCGTACCGCCCAGTTTGTACGTATTTGCCGTCGTCCGATCATCTGTCCGTTCATTTCTTCGATAGCTTTTTGCGCATTCTAAAATTTTAGCATTTTTTGGAATGAAGCAATAAATGACTGAAAGGACCTCTTGGTATGCCAACAATTCTATGCGATTGAAAAAGAATGAAAGAATTGACTGGAGGTGAAAGGTTTCATCATTTCCAGGTTGTTCCCGCAAATGTACATATATCGATCATTTACAATCAAGAGAATGGTAAGCCATCTATCATAAAATGTGGAAGAGAAAAGGATGGAAGACCAATTTCGTAAGTTTCTGGAGTAATAATAAAAAAGGCCTTGAATTAACATAGAAGATCCAAAAGATGGACGGACTTACCTCCTTAACAGGGAATGATACGAAGCCGTAACCTTTAGATTTCAGTGTCTGAGGGTCTCTTATTACTTTGGCTTCACTGAAACATGACAGACTCTTGAAATGTGCACTCAATGCCAGAAGACACTTTACAGAGTTGTATAATAAAGAATCCGGAATATTTAATAGCTACCGAAAACTTTATGCAATGGAACTATGACGATGTATGAGCACAATAATGCAAAGAGAACTTAAATGTTCAGAAAATTTTGCAATCAACGCTAGTGAACGTTGGTAAAAGTAAAAGCTCACGGCAAGAGTGTAAAGAGGTAAATTGTAAGAGGGTCTGAAAACTGACGAGATTTCTCCAAAGCTTTCAAAGGCTGCTTTCAAAGTACAGTTGTTTACTTCAGTCGAAAGGTCACCGACAAATACATGGTAATTCTCTGGAATAAATCAAAACTGAACTGATTTTGCTTGATTGTTCATCAACTTTCCTTGTCTTTATTATCAAATACAATTTTAAACATACTGCTCGTGTCCACTTTTGGTGAATGACTTCTTGGACGCACATTTGCTCTCGTTTCCTGCAAATATATCACTGATAATGCGTTCGCAATTTTATTATTTACAGCTACTTTTCTACGATATCCAGTTTGCACACCTCATTGCAGTGTAGTAGTAGTAACACCTGACTCTGCTACCTATTAGATGGTACAATGACGCGATTCGAATCGTTAAATACCTAGTGAGTCGTAACATTGGATATACGAGACCTAATGATTCACACCGTAAGTCTGTTCTTAATATTTATAACTAAAGGATTAAATGATCTTCATGAAATGTCTCTGAAAATAACAAAATTTTTGCTAAACTAAGCCAATAAGTTGTCGTGAGAAGTTTTTGAACATACGATGATAGATCGTTGGTATGGATTGCAATATAAAGCGCCTGTGGGAGAACTTGAAGATGACTGAGGGAGGAGAAATATTGGGACACCTTCAAATACATTTGCAGTAACTGGTGAAAGCATTGGTATTGGATGATTGTACTGATTGGTTAAATTTATGTGCTGTTGCAGCAGCTGACATCCAGAATTAAACATCATCACCGAAGTAGAACAGATAATTTGATGAACCGGTCAGAGAGGTTGATATCGTTGCTGAAGCAGCGCGAGATAAATTCAACTGCTGAGCCGTTAATGCCGAAATCTATCTGTGACAATGTCGTCGTCGTCGTCGTCTCTTTTTTGCCAACTGAGTGATAAATATTGAACCTAGGGTCTTCTGATATCAAAAGCGATTGCTGCGAAAATGAAGATGCAATGCTACAATCATTTGTTGGATATGAAGGTTCAGATTTACTATTTGCTCCAAAATCCTTTTTTAGGTTCTTTCTGAAAAATATATTCTAGAAATTTTTAGATGAAATACTTTCACATATTCAATAATCAGTTTGAATATTTTCTCTCTAATTGATAGTTCGGCAACAGCGATGTTTTTGAAATTTATTAAATAAAGAAAAAAAGTCCACAAACAATTCTTGTCTTGAATCAAACGAAACTATCCTTTTTTTTACTGAAGAAATTGTATTAAGTGGAATGAAATTTCAAGTTTCCAACAGTGCAAAAAGAAAATAAATCGAACAAGATATATATCATTGAAGAGACTCTGAAGTCAATGGTCACATTCCCATTTATGAAATGTTGTTTATTCATAGCCAATCAACATTCTTGAATGTTAGAAGTGATCTAACAAATTTCAATAATTTAATGTGCAAAAGAATACGGAAAAGAAGTAGAAAAGTGATGAGGAATGCAGTAGAGGCGATCAAATTAGTTATGCTGATAACGGTGATACTAACTGAAATAAGCGATATGTGAGGAATATCACCACAACAATCGTTTTTAAACATCGAATGTTGATAAAATTTTAAACAACATTTATTGTTTGTATGAAGATAATTCATTCACATTCAACTATGATTATAAAACTATAGCCACTTGATTATAACAATTAGGACTTAACAAAGTTTTAAAATAATAATTACCTAATGGCAAAAACTGATTCAAAAAGAAAAAAAAAAGTGTTACTTCCCAAAATTAGTAATAAATATCATCAGTGAACTTCACATTAGCAAGATGTGGAACTATCCTGTAATCCAAACAGATGGATTACATGTTGTTTAAGAACATAGAAAATCAGTGGTCCCTCTAAGCGGATGATGGGCGAGAAAGACCAAGCATAGTGCCTAATTTTTCAGGAAAAAATATATTTTAACATTGTCTGTCGATGATATATACGAGAAGCACAAATTATGTGAAGATATCCAATCTCAGATTCGATAACACTTTATAAGCGCAGTAATTTAACATTAGTTATAAATTAGCATTTCGCTATATCATTGAGGAAATTTTTGCCAAATGAAAGAAAGTATTAAGAACATGAACAATTCACTAATTATCTGATCGTTTCAGTGAGTTCAATATAGTTTTTAAAGATAATGGCTTAGAGGGGAAAGGAGAAATGGAAAAATTCTAGCAATGAAAGAAAACTAAGTTAAAGTAAGGTTGATAATGGCGAAAAGTATCTAACTTGAAAATTTTTACTCTTCCTCCGGAATTACAAATCCATTTCTTGAATTTACATCACTAATGTGAACATTTCCACTCCCACGTTTCATCTGACCCTGTGCAACAGATCTTCACTATCAAACACATTTTACTTAAAGTGCTAATGACGCGTTATGAGCACATTTTTCATTCCTGTTTCACCATCTCATAAGCTAAACACAATTGATAGCTAACTTATCGTAAAAAGCAACAGATTAAGTAATCCATACAGTCGGTGATTTATGTAATTATGACTATTTTAATCTCTGTCAAATGACGTTTTTCACACGTACAAATGGTTCACAATGATATATTATATAAGTGGAGTAAATACAAACTTGAAGTTCTATGTTTCTCTCACCTGTTTCTGTACTAGATGAGTAGAAAGTGACATAAATATAGACTAAGTATTTTAATTTTTAAGTGTTAATTGCGTTTGCTTAACTCTGACCTACTTTGACTTTTTTGACGATATAATAGCGAAGACGTCCCGAGAAAAACAAATGAAGTGTTGAAGAAGAGTATAACCATAATCCACAATAAAAGAATATTTAGCTACAGTGAGCTTCTTGGCTTACAAGTTCAGTATGAATGTTTAAGCGCGAAATACTACACATTACAACATATAATGTCACATGAAATCGCTTATGTATGCATCGAAGTGTACACAAATACATACATGGAAGTAGGTGGATGGAAAGAAAAGCAACGAATCAATTCAATGCAATTTACTTATAACTGCAGTAAATCTGGATCAATTGATCAACCGCTAAAAAAGAAATAAAGTTCATAGAAAGCTTTGATAATCTTTTCATTCCTCTCCTCTGCTATCCTTCTTAATCATTGCGTATGTTATCACATTCAAGTGAACTGTTATCACGTATACTATCTTTTATTTGGATTCGTTCCGCACTGAATTAGTTCAAAACAGCCATCCTCTGAGTATCATTGAATCAACGCTAGTGTAACTATTGACTCACCACCGATTTTTTAATAAACACTATTTCAACTTTTTGATTCACTCTCCATTAGCAACTCGCATACTTAGAGAAACCACCAGCCTCAGTTTGGTACCAACTTATCGATTCAACTAATTAAAAAAATTGTCCGCACAATTAAGTAGCTCGCAATTTGTATGATAGAAGCAATGTAACAGTGTTTGTTAGGTATTCACAAATAAGGTTCTTACGTTGGATTTCTGTATCATACACATTTTTGATTACTGCCCACAGAAATGAAATAATTTCCATCCCATAAGAACAAATAAGAACGTCGACTAATAATGAAAAATATTATGAAAAAGGAAAAAGTAATATTCAAACGTTAGAATTAATGATGGTCTAAAGTCATCTAGAAATATTGAAATCTTCATGAGATCGCAATTAAGGTTGGAAAACGATTGACATTAGAAATAAACACAATTTATTTAAATCTCAAACCTACATACAATTAAACTTTCGAAGGAAATGCGGCTAAAAATGGAATAAGAAGTAGTAATGACCGCTGAAATTTATATCAAATGAAGAGGAAGAGTAATATCGAGAACAAAAATGAAGGAACATGTAGGAGTGGGTAAAACAGACATCGGGACGGTTCGAAACTTTAAATCAGGGCAATATCTATTGTCATTTATTTTCAAAGCCAATTAGAATTTCCATTGCCGACCAAGTAACCAACAGTCATTTGGCTGAGCAATCTGCCCATTTCATGCTCTCTATCTCACCATACAGCAGCTATTCATAACAACAACTCTCGTCTGCCATTCTTTTATCTCTCCTCCTGTTATCATTACCATCACTATCGTTTCTTATCTCAAATTCATCACTACCATTCATTATCCAACACTATTAATGATAGGATCATCATCACTTACATTTGTTACACACACACATATACACACACATCAGCCTGCTCCTCTTTACATTACTGAATGAAGCAATGATATAGCACATTAGTTTGCACATTTCGTCTTATAACAGTGACCTTCCAACATTGCACTTTTACAATGAGTGTAAGTTTCTGATTAACGCATTGAATAGTAAATGACAATCCAAAGAAATTAAATCCTTAACTGCAAATGGACACTGAAAATGATGGAAAGATGACTTACAGTTCGCGGTGGATATATTTGGGAAAGAGAAAATAGCGAGTACTGACTGAACGCATCTACTGATTTCCAAACTTATAATGCAAAAAAAAAAAAAACTCGAATCATGCAATGTGTGCACAGCTTTCACATTCCCTGCTAGCCATGATTCTATTCCATACTAAGTCTTCCATCGAACCCTATGAAGACCAACCATTGCTCGTACTGTCACCTTCACAAAAAGTGGAACAGTCGAAACCATACCACCTATCACTGCAACCCGGCTTTCACCCGATAGTTTGTCAGTAAAAAACAGAGAACAGAAGGTTTTTCAGCATTCGATGGAAATCAACAAAATAAGACACAATCTTCTTTATTTCATCCACTCCCATACTAGACTGCTACATTTGCCCGTCTCAATAATTGTTTACCATAAACTTTAATGTCCACAGCTCTACCTGGTCTTATCTACCTCAATTTAGACAATCTCTTCAAAAGGTGAAATAAATGAAAAAGCAAAAGAAAAATCACCAAACTTTATTCACTTTGGTAAAATCACAGTCCTGAATCAACAATGCAGACGAAATCTCGGGAAATTATAATCAAACAACAAGAATGCAGAAGGTATACAACAGTTCTTAATGCAGTGAACTAGAAAAAAAACCAAATCTGTAACAGGCCTACTGAGCCGAACTGGAAGCAACCTTCATTCAACGAAAACAAATCAAGTACACTATATAACAAAAAAAAAAAATTACACTGCTCACAGAAATGAGCAAAGAACATTTCATTGTGACAAAACATTATGGAACAGATATTTAATTGTATTATCGGTATTTTTAAGGACAACAAACAACAATGGATAACATTTATGCGATTTTAAATAAACAAATTTCAAGAAAGTATAACTATCTGAACATTAGAAGCTAACATGATATTTAACACAAGTACAAGTCACTGGATGGATGAGACATAATCCAAGTGGAATTATTTCTTTATCACTTTCAAAACCCTAAAAGTAGTTCATGATACCACGATATGAACAGAAATGGAAAAGAGAATAAATTTAGTAGTAGTATTGTTTGACAGGTATTAAAAAGATACGAAAAGAACTAATAAGCAGAAAAAATAACATTCACAAAGAATGGCCCATCAAAATCATATCATCAGCAACATTCGCTTCCTGAAATTTAAAAGCATCACTATAGAAAATAACGCAAAGCCTTAACCCTGTTTCTAAAATGCATTTATATGGAAAACTTACTTATTACCTCTAAAAATGTGATATAAATAGAAATAAATTAAAATAGGCTCACCTTCAAAGTAATTAAGCCTATTCTTGAACATAAGTTGATTTTCTCGCTATCGGATGAATTCAGCACCATGAAAAATCCGGAGGATCCTATAACAGAAACAAAGAAGAAATTTTGCAGTTTTTTTTTTTTTTTTTTTTAAAGAAAATTTGTGAGATGAGAGAATTCTCAAACATCTGAAAATACAACCATGATGAACAAAGAAAACTAGTTTAAGAAAGCAGGTAGGTTTGTAATATTGTATTATCAAAATCATCATTAAACATAGGGGAAACTGTGCAAGGACGACTAAAATGAGAAAAGAATATAACAGATAGCAATGCAACTTAAATAAAGACGTAACATCGCTGCTCGTTAACATTTTTTTAGTTAAACAAATCATTAATAATATTATCGGTGATCAAAAACATTTCATTATTTTTTAAAAATGTTTCATATATATTTCATATGAAGGTTTGGAATTATTAGTATATATTAAGCTCACCGTTATAAGATAAGGCGATCGCTGTTATGCATACCAACCTACGAAAAACCACGGCATCTTGCGACAATTCATGACATCTTACATCTATCTACAACATTTTTTTTTAAATATTTCGGAATGAACCACAAGCGATTTTATATAAATGCTTTAATGATAAATACTATTAGTGTATAAATTAAACATAACAATAACAACCTGACTCGGGAACTGCTCGTAGAAATAGTCGGAAAGACTAGGTGGTCCCCATTCGGCAATATCTTCATGTAGACTTTGCCACTTTAAAAAAAAAATTTTTTTTCGAAAACCAAATTTACCCAATCGTTCAGCATGATGAAAATGACAATCGAAATTTATAAGAAAACTTTACATACGAAAACTAGTGTTGCATTTATTATTTGTAACTTCTCCCATCCCCTAACAACACGAATCCAGAACTGAATGATGGTTCAAGCACTGCTTAAAGATTATAAAGAATTTTTCTAGTTAAAAGAAAGCCAGGTGAATTAGAGCTTCTAAAATTTACCTGACGTTCAATTTCTTCATTATGAGATAAAGACTGCCCTTTCTCTGCTTCAGCATATACCTTGTATTTTGAACACATCTTTGGAATGTACTCACTTCGGACCTTCAAAATTACTTTCTGTATAACAGATCCCATCTAAACGTACTACAGACTACAGGAATGATCCTCCAACTACATAGCCACTAACTGCGAAACTGAGCTGAAAATCTATGTTTTTTAGCAAATATTATATCTATAAAATAAGTTTGCAAACCTTTTCAGCAAACTCTTTTGCATCAAGTGCTGCACATATCATTCCAATAACTTGCCGTGGACTTCCAATGGCGTCATTTTCAACCGCAATAAAGCAAGTCCGAGGAGTTGCAAAACTTATATAAGCACCAATATACCTTGAAAAAGCCAATCTTCAGATGGATGTCAAGACAAATTCTTATCAAAAGTACATGTAAGTTTAAAAACGCATGCATATGGAGAGAGAGGAAGAGAGACATACGGCTTGCAAGCGAACAAAACCATTGCAAGGCTTTAAAGATTCTAAGAATTCATGCATGATGAATTCAAGATATCTTTGATTGCGTTAAACTAAATATAGTATCTGACTTATATCTCTTGGATGAAGAGAATAACTTACTTGTCAAAAAAACGTTCATCCTTGATTCCCTCTAAAATTCCCAAACTTGAAGCACATTCATCTTCAGCTTTCCATATGTATCGAACATTTTTCTGGAACAAAATGTAACCCAGATTCAATAACCTCAATAACTGGAAATCCTGTCATTGCCTAAAACACTGAAATTGCAAAAGAAGTGTTTCTAAAGGCAGGACAGTTCATAGCTCACGACAAATCAAAAAATTTATTGATAAAATGAGGTATATAAGACAACTACAATTACAACAGTCCAAATAACAAAATAAAAAGGGTGCGAACAAGAAAATTACGATCAGCAAACATAGCAAACTTCTCTTTCTTTCAAGGAAGAAAAACAGGAGGTAGAAACAAACCGTATCTTCATCTACGTAAGGCCTAACTGTATAGCAGTTCAAAGAAAGCGGCAGTACTGTCTTCAACAAGAATAAGTCCGCTAAATTAGCATTCGAGTACAAGAGTTTCTGCAAGTCTGCTAAGAAACCGCCAGACAAAGTCCATGGTTCAACATCCGGAATACCAACACGCCAAAAACAATCACAATCTACAATGACAATAAAATAATAATATGGTTGAAAATTTCTAAATGAATTACTATATGGAAAAAGCGACTAAAATTAATGAAAGGACGTACCAACAGGTGCAACATTCAAGTGACCACCAGCCATCCAAAGAACAAGTGCTTCTAAAATAGAAGCCATACCTTGAGCATCATAAATGTATTGAAATAGTTCCTGAACAACGCTCTGTAATAATAACACTTATATTCATGCCATAGAGGTATCTTTTCCAGTGTCTATATTTTTAAGACGATTCTACATATCAAAAAGCAAATCTACAGAGATTGTTTCTTTCGATCAAAACTAAAATTGTGAGAAATATATCGAGGTTTTGAAGTTTTACACAACATTAAGAATGCTGTGTAACAATCATTGCTCATTTCAGAACTAGTGGACGAATAAGTTTAAGGGATAAAATTGATTAAAAATTATTAATAAATATTAATTAGAATTCCAGATACACGAATGAATATTAAGTAAGAAATGTGACGGATTGTGACTTTCTCTTCAGATTTTATAAAGAAATAACGAATTCCCGGAAAAATAACAAACACGATTAGGAAGCTGCGTGATATGCTGATAAAGTCTCGTTACATCACGTAATAATTTGACAAAATCCTCACATCTCCGTTTCCATTCGTCACTCACAAATTCCTGTACCTTCTATAACTCATACAACAGAGAAATTAAAAATGTAGCATGAACCCAAATTTCAAATTGTATTCATAACGAAAACTTCATAGAGTGAATATTTGTATAACAGATACATTCCAACTAGTAAAACATGGAGTTGGATAAAAACAGAGTTCTTCAAATAGCCTTTTTTATACACCGTTACTTCGAGGCATCCAATTTTTTATAACACAAAAGGAAAAAAATACTATCAACTACACTGTAATGTCATGAGATATTGTACAAATGAATACTGGAGCAGCAAAAAATTGAACAACCTGGTCATCAATACCACTACTACTGCTTCGCCTCATCACGTAAGAGTTTTCGTGAAGCCAAGAAAACTCCTGCAGCATTTGAATGCCACGGCGACCATGCTCAAATGGTAAATAAAACATATCGACAAAGATTGCTACCTGGTCCACTGCAGTGACACTGTAACAGTTTCACGTTAGAACGACTCATATTTGTATGTTATGTTTTTAAAAAGCACCGAACAGACTATATTTAGCATGTACAAACAGTACATTTCTCAATCTAATACAGAAGAATAAAGAAATAAGACAGAGTTTGAAATACTTCGCTTCCGAATCGGAATGAAAACTGCTGTCCATACTGATATCTGACGAAACTTCCAGCATTTCCTGAACATTTCCTTTGTTTTGATATGACGATTCCAATGGCAGCTTTCTGTCATCCTAGAAACCGATCAATGACATTTACGAAACATGAACTGGAGTCGAACATGTCTTCTAAAGAGATCAAGAAATGTCAAAAAACCTTAGTAACAGACATCAGATCCATTGGCTCACTGTACTCAGAACACATTGAGTTCACGGTATGTACTACTGAAGTGTTCTAAAAATGAAACTAATGGAAGATTTAAACTAAGTCCAAAGGATGCAATTAAATTCATCAGTCGTTGAAATGAAATTTACAAAACATAAAGTTGAATATCTGTACAACTGTATCATATAATTAATTTTAACATTACAACAGTTTCTTAAATCCAGTTACATAATCACCAGTTTTTGGTGATTATATAATTGGGACTACCTCAGCGTTGAAACAAACAATTGATGTTTGATTGTCTCTACTGTCTGGGCCATTTAGTTCTCGAGCAACCAAAGAAATACAACTTGTTGATGGCTTTAATTCGTCGAGTTCATCAACTTCGGCTATTTCAACAGAAACAGATCTGAATCATTTTGGTACGATCGCGAACACTTTAAAACTGGTTTTACTGAAATAAAGTATAAGACAGCAAATCTGAGAAGCATTAACTTACGCATGAGAATTTGTTGATGACTCGGCGTTAAAGTATTCAATCCATTTCTTAATACCTTCATCTAGGGCTTTTAATGGATGATATAATCGTTTCGGCGAAGCATTTTCAACAATATGTGCTGCAACAGGAACTACATCACCTGCCTCTAATATAGCATCTGATTCCGCTTCTGAAAGGAATCAAGACAATATAAAAAAGTGGGAGGAAAAATATAACACCATTCAGTGACTTTTGAGATCCATCCTTAAGTTTTGTATGACGTTCTCACTTAAATCTTAAATCTCCAGTCCTTTGATATAAATACAAAAACGACTTCTTAACGCTCTAAAATGATTTTAAAAAGGTAAGCTGTAACAGTAGCACACAACTCACTCCTTCAGAAAAGCTTTACCTTACTAATACAATCTCCAAATGATCAAAAATAAGCATTGTGGCGATACCTTCCAAAACATCAGCATCTGCATGACAGCTATTCCATTCTGCTAATGTGTAGAACGGCAAGAAATTAGCTTCATAACGACAGTTCGGATTCAACAAAATTCCAGCGATCTCCTCTTTCAGTCGTACAGATCTGCAACACTTCACAGGAATAATTTAGACCTTAGCACAATACAGAAATATTTTTTCAGCTCTATATATACGCACCTTCCTGCAAACGGACCCAGAAAAACCCGTTTAGGATCATAATCATTGGCATGCAAATTATCCCAGACCACCGGTTTCCTTTGTAGTACAGCAGCGACACGTCGAATGTGATCGATTGTAATTTCACGGGACACCACCCGAGGTCCTGAAATATAGCTATTTAAATTATTGATCCTTTACTGAATGTAGCAAAGTCTCCGTAAAATGACACACATAGTTTTAGTATATAATGCAAAATGCACCTGTCCACAAAATATGTATATCAGCAACCAGTTTTTTACCAAGTGTAAGTAAATAGTCTGACTCCTCTAATGACGGATTCGCTCGTGACTCGCAGTACTCTACAAAAGAAATTCATCTTTGAAAGGGCATATTGTCGTTAATGCATAAGACAAGTAATAGTAACCTTCAAAAAAGTGCTCTCAGATAAATTAGGAAGATTTTAAATGACTGGCCAAGATGTGTGAAGTAAAATTTGACATACAGTAACCTGTAGGACAAAAAAAGAAATGAGGACACTTCAAAAATTCGTATAAAGCATTAGCAACAGTTAACTGAGCCATAACAATTGATGAAAATTGTTTTTTGTCGGCATCATTCAATGCCATATCAATATCATCGAACAGCAGTGCAAATGCATCACATCCTAAACAGCGTACCTAGAAAAGGGCACCATAAGAGAAAGTTAGCTGGTTGAACAGGGAATACAACGATACTGCTTTACCACAAAACAATACATTTTACCAGTCTTTCTAGTTACTGGAAATTAGTCCTTACATCATAAAACCGCAATCAGATGCAACCAACCTGCTCAGATTTATCATGCAGAGCTTTAATTTCTTTTTCGCTTGAATAAATAATATCAATTCCAGGAGAGAGTGCATATACGAATGTAACATTTTCCATCTTTGCCGTCTGGATCAGAGATTGTAATAACTCTGTAAATGAATAAGCTCGGTATTCTCACCCTAAATCTTTTCCTTGTTATGAGGAAGAAAAGTCACCAACCTACTTCATCGGAATTGTACAATTGCCTCCAGTCAGCTCTATGCTTTAGATCGTCTTTTGGTGCGTAAATGTAAGTGTTCATCCCGAGATGTTTCATTCTGGCGAATAAGTCTTTCCGTTGATCTGCTGTCCATGGTCGTCCATAAAATCCTGTTTTCAGATTGTCTTTTTTTTTTTACTAGACCCAAACACAAAATACAGATAAAGAAACCAAAATGTAGTGCTGTATACATCTAAAATTTTAACTTTTTCCATACCTTCAACAATACCACATAAGAACTGTGCTGCACGACGTTCTTTTTCAGCTTTTGTTTTAGAGCGCGTCTGCATAGTGTAGTATGCAGAGCATCCAATCTAACGCACAGACCAACACCTCCGATATTCTGAAATTATTTACATACATAAGATGTAGCTCATTTTATAACATACTAATTATAAAATTACACTTACCATAATTCTTGTGATATACAGCACATCAGCATTACATAACAATGTTTGAGAAACTACACGACAGTAAAAGTCAATTGTCACCTATACAGAAACCAAAAAATATCGACCAGACCAAAATCAGAAGTATGAAACACTCTAGTTCGATATTTTCTATTCCGCAATAAAATCCCTAACTGATTCTCTCAATAAAAGCAACCTGTGCTATCAGAACAAGAAAAATAATAAATAAAATCGTGCACAGATACAAAGATACTGAGACTTACTAAAGAATAACATGATGTGATGCTAATCTAAATTTAATATCAAATTTCAGTACGCTGTAATGGACTTCTAAACATAACTGGGATATTTCATTGTTTGTTACACTGAAAAGAGATAAGCCATTTCTTTCACTCTCTGTGTCCCTCTTACCAAAGATTTGACACTTAAAAAAATTCAAAATGTCAGAAAGTTACTTAAACGTAACTTACGCGCACATATACGTTATATGAACAACAGCAATAGCCCATACTAAGTTGGCGAATCGTGTCCGAGCCCATGTCTGATAAGTGACATCAGTGAATCTATTTTTTAATGTGTGACTACACTGTTACCGTTACTTTATTCGTATTATTTTATTGCAGTAGTATCAACGTTCGATAAATTATGATGATAATATGTCTATACTCGCTTTCTTAATAATTTTGTCAGACATTGCTCTGCTCAATACATTTTTATCCAGTTCTGCCATTCCATACATTCGGTACTAACCATCTCACTGTCTTTTTTTCACTATCTAGAAAAGGGCTTCAAGTTTACATTCTTTCTTTTTGTCAGTTTGATCTTTCTTTCAATAGCCAAAATATACTCTTTATGTACTTTTTGGGCTATATTGTTCATCTGCACATAGCAGATTTTATAGGCCTACAAAAAGCCTTATAGTTTACATATCTTAAGTAAAACCTTGATGCACAGTTGCAGTATTCTGTGAAGGCTTTTTGCGGAAGTTTTATTTTCCAAAAAATCACTGATGTTTCCTTGTAACCCTAAGCTGTATATATCACAAGGAAAAATTTAAACAGCATCATCAGGATTATTTCGCTCTGTGCAAATTTGTTTAAGTGGATATGAGTGAGTGAATTTCACAGCTATATCTCAGCTGTATCTCATTGACAACCAAAATTTCAGGATTATGGAGTTGTCTGAGGCAATAGAACGGTCTCGTGTAGATAATGTATTCTTACGAAAAGGTCCTCGACAACCACAGCCAGGTTCACTGGCCCTCATTGGTCATCATATGATTTTTTCACCGTCTTCGAGTTCAACAAATTCTCCAAGTGGGAAGGAACATAGCAGTGAACTTTGGGTATCTTTAAATGATTTAGTAACAGAATAACAATTTTATGTACTATTAATGAACGACTCATTTTATAGATTTTAAGTCAGATTGTGTTTAATATCAATAGTTAAAGTTTACTTGTATATCAAAGTCAACAATTACGGTTTCCTATATTTGCTACTCACTTGTTTATTAAGGCCTTTAACTTGAGATGTTGAGCCTGGAAGCAGGCCTGCAGCATAATCTGAAGTTTGATTTGGATTACCGAATGTGTTCTTAATTAGTAGTAATAATGGTGACAGTAATTATGTATTTAGTTCCGTAAGGTGCACAAGACTTTTCTAGAACTCGTCTTTGGATCGAAACTTTTTTTTTTGACAAATTATTAGCTGTTGAATTGGTGTTACAAAAATTATACAGGAATGATGAAAGAAAGGCAATGGTTTCAGCTTCTCCATCGTGCAGTGGATCGTGTCATTGTGGAGCCAATTGTTAAAGACAGCTTTAATCGTAGTGGAAAGCTGATTTTAAAATGCAAGAACTTCATGATCTGCATTTTTGAAATCGATGATTTGGATGATTGCCTCGCCGTTGCACGTTCTATAGAAAAATTATCTAATTTAAGCAAGTTATTTATTATTATTGTTATTATTACTAATTGTTCTTTTTAATCATTATTATTGTTAGTATTAATTGTTACTAATAATAATAATTATTATTATTATTACCATTATTATTTATTGTTAATCATTATTATTATCAATTGTTATTACTAATTATTATTATTATCATAAAAAAATTTATTTGTCTACTATTTGTTTATTATTTAAAACTTGTTTGTTATTACTTATCACGTATTATTTTTTATTCATTATTTTTGTTATTATCACTACTGTTACTTTTTTGTTAATTGCTTATTCAGTCTGAAATACCAGAAAAATACGTAATAGATGGATTTCAAAAAATGGTATGCAGCTATATCAAAAAGCGTCGTTGGTAAATATATACAGTTTCTGATGCTGAATTGTGCTGTTCTAGAGGATAAAAAAGGTAATAAACGAATTTTTGCTTTTCAGAGGGTATACAGCATGACTACCCATTTTATTACCGATGTCCTTTTACTGTGCTGGATAATGGGTGGACTGCTTTTGATGCTGAACAAGAATATGCGAAGTTAATGATACGGTGTAAAGATGGATGGCGTATAAGTGCTGTCAACAAAGGATTTCGAGTATGATGTTGTTTCTATTGCATATGATTATCAGCTTTCATCACTGTGGGTAAAATGATAATGTTTGCTGCATCTGTTCTGATGCGTTGTGCTTTCTTAATTTCTTTATGGGTGCAACTGGGAGGGTGCAGTATGTGAAGACCTTTAGACCACTAATTCAATGAAAATATTTGGAAACCCTAAGTAATAAAGTATAATACACTTTTCATCGTAGGTAACGAGTAGAAGAGAGTTTTATTCTGGTTTTTTTTTTTTTTTTTTCACTACCAATAAAAAACCAAAAAATATATTCTTTTAAATAGGTGTGTAATACGTATCCTGAAATGGTAATTGTACCAAAAGGTATTGGAGATGATTATCTTAGAATATCTGCTACATTTCGAGATGGTGGACGTTTTCCAATATTAAGTTTCTATCATGGCGAAACAAAGGTTTGCTGCGGTATTTGTTAGTTTCACAGTAATTATTAAAAACCATTTGCTATTCATGACTGATAGTTAAATGTTTTTTTTTAAAACAACTGTGATTTTTATATCTTGCAGTCTTGTCTTATCCGTTGCGGACAACCGCTAGTTGGCCCTACAAATCGGCGATGTAAAGAAGATGAGACAATCCTAAACTCTTTGTTGTCTTCGACAAGCAAGGGAGTTATTGTTGACACACGTACGAAAGCTGTTGCGCAAAACGCTAAAAATAAAGGTACATGCAGTGCCAAATTTCGTTTAACTTTATCTTTGTTGACCGATGTGCAAAACGTAATGTTGCCATCACAGAATGAAGCTTTGCTATATATTTAGACAAAGAAAGTGGTAAGGAAGTTATAAAATATAATCCTATAGATTTTTTCCAAACAAGGTTGGTTATGATCGTGAATATTTCGAAATTTAACTGAAGAAAGTCTTATACGCATGAAGCTTTTGCGGCACTTATAATAGTTTTTCGAGCTATGGAGTCGGTCAATGTGAAGTTGCTGTTTATTTTCATAATCTTTTCGTTGCGTTTTCAGAAAAAGGAAAAGATTTTTGAAGCTGGAGAAATAAATGCTTTGAAATGACTCTGAATCACTAGGAATAAGATGCTCATTTGATGTAAATATGTTGTGGTTTGGAATATTTGTTTTTGGAAGTGCCTACTTTTTCTTAGTTAAAGGTGGTGGATGTGAGTCGCAAATGTTTTATTCACAGTGGAAATACATATATGGTAGCACTCCACGGATTAGAGAAATTCATGATGCGCTAGTCAAATTAGTTGAATGTGAGTTTTCTAATTCCTCTCGGTTGTATTGTAATGATCTCTCTGTTTCGAAACATCAAGCATAGCATTCCAGATGTATCAGTTTTGTAGTTCAGCATAGTTCTCCTGCTGTTTTGCATAATCGTTTTTTTTTTTTTTCAAACTTTCAAGAAATATATAATTCTGTTCTTTAGGGATGGTCAGCTTTTGTTAGCTTTTGATGTTTGATAGTATTGCATTCTATATGTTCTAGTATTCCTATTTTAGTATCCTCACATTTTATATGCAATAAGTTATTCAGATCCAATTCTGTGGTAGGAAAGAAAACAAAAAAAAAAAATTGCTAAAACTGCTTGTGCATTTGGTTTTAAATAACATTCTCTTTTCTCTTCCAACCGTTGACCTTGTTCCAGTGTGTACGGAAACGAATATCAGTATTGATCGTTGGATATCTCGTCTTGGTTCTTGTGGCTGGCTTCAGTTTGTTTCTGACATGCTAACCTGTGCAGCAACAGTAGCGCAATGTATTCATTGTGAAGGCAGTGCAGGTTTCTTCTTTTGTTTCCTTATCTATTTATTTAATCAACTACAACAAATATATTGTTACCAGAAATTAATAGGGTGTTTAACTAAAATTGTGGATTGATATTCACATATTTATTCGTGAATTAAGCCAATTACTGTGCAAGAATCATGCACATATTTTTCGGCTACTCAAGTTGAAATATCTCACTTTCACTGCTTGTGAGTTTAGTAAAGAACTCGTATAACATCCGTTCTACTTCTATTCCGTCCAAGATTTTCAAGGTGATTTATTACCGTCTTTTAAGCTTTCTGAAATCACTTCCAGGAGCGAATTTAGTGGAATTGTTTACTACTTTATGTTTCAACTTTCAGTGAGTTGACAACTTATCTGTAAAACGCCTAACTGTAGCAAACTTCTTGAAGTATTTTGTTTTTAACAAACTGAACGATTTAATTTATTTGGTTATTAGATACATTATTACTTTTTATAAGAATGTAAAATAGTAGGGTATGCGTACTGTTTTTGTTTAGATTTAGTATTGTTGCATGCTGGATATTTTTTAAATGACTGTT